TGTTGTTCATACACATATCCATTCATTCACTCATTACTCACAACGGAAGAAGACCAGATTATCGTACATCAGCCCACGCACATTGCCTCCAAATTCTCCTTCTATCCCCCTGTCGTTCTCTTTCCTTTTCTCTCCACCGTTTACCTTGTTTCTCCTTCGTTACTGTCTTCACCTCTCTCTCCTCTCTCTCCAATTCCACAATCAAAAAAAAAGAAGAAACAACGAAAGACACGCCAACTCAAATACAAAACAACGAAAACAAGTGAGCAAACAAACAAGACTGAGAGCACCAACAAAACACAACAGCAACAAATACCAGCAACCTTGCAACAAGACCCTGTTGAATACAGTACAATCAAATTATACATCCAAACATATGTCCAACCGAACTTCTGACGACATCCAATCCAATTCAACCGTCGGCCCTTTTTCCTTCTTCGGGCTTTGCCTTTTTCATACAAGCTCATGCTCTACCTACTCTATCAAAGAAATCGTACTTACCTGTAACTCTTCTTCAACGGGGTCTTGTTCCTAGGATCTACTGCCCTGCCACGCTCGCTCTTATTTGGTACCGCGAACAAGGTAATTCAAACAACGCCACCACCAGATAATCAACCGAATCCTGTTCAAGCCCCCTACTTCGGACATCAACGACTTGCAGGCGACGCCATGTTGGCGTTTCGTTGAAGACAGTGTGGTTTATCGGTCGTCTCTTTCTCCTCCCTCCTCCTTGTCATCTCCTGAACCCTACTCATACCCCTTTGTGACCAAATATCGTCCAGACCGAGGGAAAACAAAGAGGATGACCGCAGGCAGGCTACAGACCTCTCCACATTTCACTCCCTACTTTTTCCTTTGAACTTCACCCCGTCCTTTGTTCCTTCTCCTTCTTTTCTATCCCCCTTGAGTTACCCTTTTTTTTTTGCGTGTTCTTATTTATATATGGATCAAAGGGTCGAGAGGACGATTGCCCTACTTTTTTTTTCTTTTTCTACAACCTTCTTTTGCCTTGTGGTTGTTGTTGTTGTTGACACGGTTTGCAGGTATGCTTCAAACGACAATAGACCATGGGATGGAATGTCTACCTGGGAGGACACGAACATGCGCAGGAAGAGGAGCACAAAAGGGGTTGCAGGTAATGTGGAAGGGTGGATCACTGTTTCCCCTCGCTTCTTGAGGTCATCACCCATTTCACTCCTGTAATGTGTGCACCCCTTGCCTACTATGCGCTGCCTCTCTCTTTCCGTCCCTTTTCCTATCTATCACTCTCCTGTGCTTCGTCTTCCTTCCTCCAGCCTTTGGCCACAGGTGGGCTCGCACAAAAAAAACGCAAGAGGGCAAGGGAAAAGAGACACTGCATCAACAAAACTTGTATGTGCAAGCATGGAAATGAACAGGAGGGGGGGAAGGAGAGACATCCAGACAGAGGGAAGGCGAGAAAGAGTTTATTACGTGGATGGGTGGGTCAAGGGCTATGGTTGCACAGCATCAGAGCCAACATCAGAGCCAATGTTTTTCTTTGCTTCATTTCAAACACGGCAGCGAAGACTGGTCAGCCAGCGCCATTGGCATATTTTTGACGGACCAAAATAACAACATCAACTGGCTTTGCGCGCGAGGAGAGGTTGCAACGGAGAACGACGGGAATCAATTGAGAACCTTTCCAAGCACACCCCTGGCCGACCCCTTGTTCTCATATATCATCACCAACCACTTCTCGTTCAATGGAACATGGGGTTCCATCTGGATCATTTGTCTTTTATTGGGCTTACGTTCATTGCAGATGAAGTTCTTTATATTCATCCAATAAGGGTAGGGAAGGCACTGCATTCTCTTCCTTCTTGCCATCCTTCATCCCTTCCTTCCCTCCTTGCTCCCCTCTTCCCCCCCTTTTGTCAATTTCAGTCTGGTCCAATCGCACAATCTCCTACCGTTTGGCTTCGATCCATTCAGTTCATATCCTTTTCTACACGACCCCGCTCGCACCCTCTCCCTTCCCTTTTTACCTTGGTGCACCTCTCCTGCTTTCATATATTATGTCGATGGGCCGTGTTCATCTGCTAGAGAAACGATTCTCATTGTGAACAGGAAAGAGCAGAAAGAATGAAGAAAAAAAGGCGCGTTACTCACTGTCTGGATTTGAGTAGGCAACGCAGAAGAGAATGGAAAACTGGCAGAAGCGAGGAAGAAAAGGAGTGCACTGATGTTTGTTTTGGGTGGTTCCTGGTCCCTTTTATTTCTCCTTTTTCCTTCTCGCTTTCTTTTGTTCTTTTTCACTTGCCTCTCCTCCCTTCCTTTGTCTTCCCTCGCTCGTTGCTGTTGTTGTTGATGTTGTTGTTGCTGTCTTTTTTTTTGCTCGGAAACCTCCTTTTTTTCCTTTTGTCTACGCGTGAAGGTGACGGAAAGGGGCATTGCTACACCCTTCTCCCCCCTTGTATTTTATTTATTTATTTATTACTCTTTTGATATCAGAAGACGGTGGATTGATACCCATCTACTTTTCAATTGTACTCACTGGTGTGTATGGTATTTCAACCTTTGGGGCTGCATGCGCCCCGACTCTTTTTGCTTTTCTCTTTGTGTCTTTCCTTTGGGGTTTACTTTTGGGAAGGGTTAGTATGGCAGAGTGTGTATCAATCAATTGAAAGTGTTTGTTACTGCTGATGGAATGGGATGTCCCTCTTTTCAAGCGACGCCATGCCATGCCATGCAGAGCAAAGTGGAGGAGAAGTAGACGTGTGTTTTGTGTGTCCACGAAGTAAAAAGAGACGCCAATGCCTGGTGGCATTTTGACACGTCTTCAAGGGAACACCTTGTTCAATTGGAGAAAGGTGATGGCAACAGCTAATCGACCTCTTCGCGCGAGAGAGATTTTTTTTCCGGTGGATCTCCATCCTCCTTCTCCTGCTCTCCTTCTTTCGTATCCTCCTCCCTTGTCGTTGTTGCTACTCTTTCGACGATTATCATTATCGTTACTGTTACTTTACCTTTTTTACCAATCGACAATGCACACACCTCCAACCTCCTCTTCCTCTTCCTCTTTCTCCCTTCTTCCCTTCTTTCCTCTCTCTCGCACACACGTACACGCTCTGTTTCCCTCTCCTCCCCCTCTCCTTCCTCGAGTTTCCGTATGTGATGTGTATACCAGCCTGGCCAATCTTGTCCTACCCGTCCCTTTTTTTATATCTTGACACTCTCCATCTCCCTCCTCCGTTTTTATGAGTTGAGGGTTGATGTGGGTTGTGAGTGTGTCCTCCCATTTCCTGTTCGCATTATTACTCCTTCAACCTTATGGGTACCGTCGCGTCCTTTTTAAAAATGCCCGATACATTGTCCAATGTGTCTCTCCACATCCTACCGTGGCGAAGGATGGTAGCGATGATGCTGGTTGAGCATGTCTCTTGTCTTTTTGCAAAGTGTTTCTTTCTGTCAGTCTTACATGTCTCGTCGCACATCGATACAGCCTCGACAGCAGCGAACAGTAGCAACAACAACAACAACAGCAACAACTCCACCTCCTCAACATCTTTTTTAGTCCTTCATCCCCTTTTCTTTCCTCCTTTTGTTATTTATCGTATTTCCCCTTTCTCTCAATCCCCTTTGTTTACTATTACACACTGATTCAATTCCCACCTTGCCTCACTGTCACCCCGCGTACATGCCATTGACCATCACATTAACGCTCATAATCCCCTCCTCCCCCGCTCTATTCTCTATCGATTTTCAATTAGCTTCCTTCTCTCCTTCTCTATCTCTCCGACCGATTGTTTGTCCTGGCCCCTGCGCTCTATTTCGTCCTCTCTCTCTCCATCGGTCCATCCTCTCTCTTCCAACTTTGTTCTGCTCTTGATACCAGGTCAGTAAACCCTCCTCCACCTCCCTTCCCGTCTCATCCTCGCCTCTGTGATCTTATACTTGTTGTACATGTGTGTACGGTGAGCGGTGTTTCGATATGGGCGTCCATTCTTGTTTAGTTCCTCTCCCTCGATTATCATCCCTTTCAAACCTTCCCTCGTCATTTCTCTTTCTTTCGCCCTTTCATCCTTTTCTCCTCTCTCTGTCTCTTTCTTCACTTTTTTTTTTTTATCTCGCATTCTTTCTTCTTCTCTTCCTTCCTCCTTAACCTCCTCCTTCCACTACCACCTCTCATCGCCATCCACATCCAATTCCTTCTCCTCGGGTATTCTTTCTTGCTCTAATCCCTTATTCGGGCTGGACAGATATCCATCACCGTGTCATCCGACGACGATCCATTTTATCCTCTCCTATCCTCTCCTATCCTCTCCTATCCACTCACCGCCTCCCATCTTTCCTCTCTTCATCTCATTATCTCTCTCATCTCACTTTTCTTCTTGACTTTCTTTCGCTGGCGTTTCTTGCTGAATTTGGCTATCTTCATCATTTACTCGCCCAGCCTTTACCGACAGCATCTTGTTGTAGGTGCATGAGTGTGCGCGTGTGTGTGTTTCGTTCGTGCCATGTTAAAAAATGGATGGTATCCTTTATTCGTTGTTGACGTGAGCGGTTAAAAAGAAAATTGTTCAACGAAAGGGAGAACCTTTCCTTCCTTCCTTCTTTGTCGGCGGATCCACCTCTCGGCTCAAAAGTGTTGTCTCTCATTCCCTCACTGTTGTGTCCAATCGCCTTCTTTTAGCCTCCCCCTCGGCTCTTTCTTATCCGACCATTTCATACTTCTTTCTTTCCTTCCTTCTTTCCTTCCTTCTTTCTTTCCTTCTTTCCTTCTTTCCTTCTTTTGCAGCAGCCCACACAACCCACCAAACGAAAAGAACATGTCAAGCTAATGTATTTGCTCGACTCCTTTTATCACCTTTTCTCTTCTGTCTATTGATCTTCTAGTTCCCCTTAGTGCTTTCTGGCAATCCCCTTTTCTTGTAACCTGTTATATCGGATCCTAGCCTTCCTTCTTCCTTTTCAAACTCTCCAGCCAGACCTCTTCATCTTCCACTTCTCTCTGCGCGGTTGGTCTCACCCCAGAATAGATGGCCGATATCCAAGCACGGTCGATGGAAAACCAGTTGTTACCTCCAAGCCCTTCCTCTACTCAGATGCCCCACTCTCATCAATTGACACAGCTCCAGCGCTCCAGCTCAGGCGCAGGTGACCAGGATGGTCTTTTCTCTAGTGCCATGGATGCAGGCTCAACGCTGACCCCTGACTGGATTCAATCGTCCAACGACTACAACAACCTGACCTCGCTCGGCTTCGACACCATGTTCTCCTTTAACGGACAGGCTGACTCTTTCCCTATTGATCACACAGAGTTCGCTTCCAATGATTTCGGGTTTCCTCCAGGCATGGCAGCGCCCGTTTCAACCATCTTTGACACGACCTCCTCGAGCACCGTTATAACGGGGCCCACTCTCGATACCAGCTCAGCCCAAGGCATCATGGATACATCCTTTCAGAGCGGCAACAGCAACAACGGCCAGACCGCCAGCGCCCACGGGTCTCCTGACACCAACAGCCACGGCCATATCGCCAGTCTAGGTCTCGGCTCTAGCATTAACATGGAGCATAAAGCCAGCAACAGCAACTCTCCCTCGCTCTTCTCCTCATCGTCTACCATGGATGCGGCAGAATTGATCAACCTGAACATGGCCCTCAAGCCTCAGTATATGAACCGGCTCAAGGCCTCAGCCTCTGCAACCCTTTCCAACACCCTGGCTCAACCATTGCCAACGATGCAGCAACAGGGACAGCAACAGCAACAGCCCCAACTGCAATCGCAGCAGCAGCAACACCACCAACAGCAACAACAACAACATCTACATTTGCAACAGCAGCAACATCATCAACAGCATATGCAACAACAACTGCTGCAGCAGTCCATGCCTCAACATCCGTTTCAAGATCAAGCGTTTGCTGCTCCCATGGACCTGTCTCAACCTCTCCCAGTCTCGACTTCGTCTTCGTCACAGCAACACCCAACGTCGGTCTTCAGCAGACACTCCCCCACATCTCAGTCACAGCCACAGTCGCAGCAGCAGACTCACCCATTCATGTTTGCCCAAGATCAGACCTCGTCCTTTCAGCTTCCCTTCCACCCGCACCCACCCCAGCACATGGATGAAGACTCGCTGCATCAGAACCACCCTTTTGGTCACTCGCGTCCACTATCCATGGGAGGCACCACACACCAGCAGCAGTTTGAGGACATGCTGTTCCACCAACAACAGCAACAACAGCAGCAACAGCAGCAGCAGCAACAACCACAGATGAGCTCAGACATGAAGGGGCACTTCCGACACTCGTCTTCGCCCAACCTCTCTGACATGATCAAGCAGGAGAAACCTATGCGGCAACGTGCCCACCTGCAGCAGCAGCAGATGCAATTACACCACCAACAAGAGTCGTTACAGCTCTCCCAGCAACAACAACAACTCCAACAGCAGCAGCAGCAGGGTATCCACGCCTCCAGCATTCACCCCTTTTCGACACACGCTATGAACGCCAAAAACAACGCCATGCCACCAGTTCGCACCATCACCAAGCGACCCAGCGACCTCCATGTCGACATTTCAGGACGGTCGAGCTCATTCCGTCTTAGCGGTGATGTCAGGAATGGCGACTTTCGGTTTGGAAACGAAGGGCGCGAGACAACAGACACGACCTCGGCGCCTCTTTCGCCGACGACGGCGAATATGACTGCACCTCTAACGCCCGCCTTTTTCTCTCCAGCCTTTGGAGAGGCATTGGGCAGCCCAGGCTCGATTCTGTACCAAAACAGCCCATTCATCTTGAGTTCGCACGATCGGAGCCGGGCCTCGATCCAGACGGATACCTCAATGGGTTCGTTCATGGACATGCAGGCCTCGAGCGCGTCGTCTCCGTCCTCGCTGGGTTCGCTCAGCGAGGTCGGCCACCGCATGTTCAGGAACTCAACGGACTCGATGCAGGCGCCCGTGGAAACAGTCACACCCATGGACATTGCTCGCGGCTTAGGTGATATGACCGGCAGCGACATGACCTTCTTGGACAAGACCTCGACCATCTCCAACCCAACAGCTATCAAACACCGCGACTCGTTCTGTCACTCCCCAGACCATATCGACCCCCACAACGTCGAAGTCAAGCCGAGTTACTTTTCGACTTACCAGGACGAGCTCAAGAACGTCAAGATGGAGATGGTCGCCACCCCGGATATTGACCATGATCATGACGGTATCCGCAACGTCTTTAGGGATGGATCCATCGGAGATACGCCCAACACTCCTGGTGGAAGTGTTAATGGAAGCCCTAGTGGAAGCGTCCCATTTGCACCTAAGATGGCGAGGAAGCGTCGTTCGAACGAGGCTGTCTCTTGCTCCCCTGCGGCCACTTCTTCGAACGCAAGCAGTCCTCCCCGTCCTGCTCGTAGTCGTACTATTTCGACTACCTCATCCATGGTGGACGATAAAGATGAGCCTACCGAGTTCTCCAAGTCTGTTTGTTACGGCCCCGCTGCTTCTCTCAAGCCCATCATGCTCACTCGCGACCTCAAGCCGCCTTCCACCAAAGCCATGAGGTATGTATTCGTTTTCTTTACTTCAGTTTGCTTTACTAGGGATATTGTGACAATTAATTGTTGATTTTTGTGACACCATCTATCAGTCCTAACACATACTTCATGGTAATATCTTTCTATTGATTGTAGGACAATTATCAAGCGGTTCTTGGCAGCCAAGACGCCTGGATTGGGCGGCGAAAAGTCAGTGTTGATCTTGACATCCAAGGTGGCACAAAAGTCGTATGGAACGGAGAAACGGTTCTTGTGCCCTCCCCCAACGACGATGCTTCTGGGTAGCAACTGGTGGTCTGCACCCCTGTCGGATGACACCCCTGTTCCTATCCCTCCCAAGATGGTGGTGTCGATCTGCGGTGAGGCCGGAAGCCAACAAGGAGTGATCGACTGGACGACTACCAAGGACGACACTGTTACGCCCATTGTTACTGGCAAATGTGTCTCGAAGCAGCTGTATATCAACGATGCCGATGAGAAGCGCAAGAGGGTCGAAGTGTTGGTGAAGTTTATGATGGCCGGCGATCTGGAGCTGGGCACGTTTGCCAGCAAGCCCATCAAGGTCATTAGCAAGCCCAGCAAGAAGCGACAAAGCATCAAGAACATGGAACGTAAGTCGATCTATGTATCGTGTTGTGATAATTGACTGTGCATGCATATGTCGGAGTTGTAGTGATTAACCACTGGTATCTTTTTAGTTTGCATTCATCACGGGACTACGGTTTCACTGTTCAACCGAATTCGATCGCAGACAGTGTCGACAAAGTATTTGGGCGTCTCAACAACCACTCAGGCCTCCGCCCACGCACCCTGGAACTATGGACACAACAACCTGAAGGATTGGCCCAGTCTGGACAACATGGGGGACTCATCGCCCGTCAACACTGACGGAGGCACCTGCTTTGTCGCACGTACTGGCGGATGGGACCCATTTGTCGTCTGGATTGTCTCGCCTGGCCAGACCAGAACCGAGACCTTGCAGGAGCACTCCCAGCGTCACCCAGGATTCCCTCCTCCTCCCGCGATTGCGATCAACTCTCCGGCCGAGAATTCGCCTCAGATACCTATTCACTATAACCAGCCCATTGTCCTGCAGTGCCTCTCAACCGGTCTGGTCAGCCCCGTGATGGTCATCCGCAAGGTCGACAAGGGAAGCATGGTCCTCGGTGGTGGCTCTGCAGGTCATTCCTCTGCCGAGTACGATCAAGAGGCGATTGGTGACCCCGTGTCGCAGTTGCACAAGGTCGCCTTCCAGATCACCGGACAGGCTACTCCCGCCACCACCTTCTCGCATGCCAAGCTCCAACAAGGAACTTACTTGGCATGCTTGGGCGACGTGGTCGGTATGCAGCGGGCCAACGAGGGCAAGCGGTACTTACCTGACCCCAAGTTGGTTCCCTCTCCTGCCAGCGAAAGTGCGAACCCGTTCTCGATGGACATTGTGCCCGAGGTCCCTGAGAGCAATGTCCCAGAAGGGCTCATGGAGGCTTGGTCGGCAGCAGATGACCGCGCTATGGGGATGGGGCCCTGCCAGGCAGAAAAATCGATGGTCACTACGGCAGATGGACACCGGATTGAGCGCAAGAGACGTGTTTCGTCGTCGGTTGTGATCAAGTCCACGGGTGCTACCACCAAGGCGGCTGTCAAGGCTCGGCGGCGTGTCAGCAGTATGAGTGCTACACAGTCGGAAGCTCAACGGATCCGGGCGAGCGCATTGGTAGCCAACCATCAGCAGCAGCAGACTGCCGTTCATACCTATGTCAACATTCACTCTTCGTCAAACGGCGGTTCGGATGCCAAGGAGAAGCCAGTTAAGGAGAGCAGCAAAGCCCAGGCTCTTCAACAGCAGCGTCGTTGCTCTTCTGTCTGGACAGAGGATGTCACTGATGCTGCTGTCTGGACCATTGTTGGAACAGGTGCGTCCTCTTGATTATATTTTTCGTTTTTATTCTATAATGAGGTTGAATACTATTCAACATCGTGATATTAACGTTCGCATTTTTTGCACTTTTTATTATAGATTGCGCGCAGTACAACTTTTGCACGCCTGGAGGATCGGATGCAATGTCGTTGCCCCGTTCACCAGTGACACCGTCGCCCAAGGTCGTGGAGGTCTCTTTGAATGGTCAAAACTATGGAAACCGTGCAACCCCTGGTCCGATTTCGGTCAACAGTGGCTCTGGTTCTGGCTCCGGAAGTAAGTCATCCAGCAAGGGACACGGTGGCCATGGACAGAACAAAGCACTCCGAGTCATGGAGCCCAACTTGCATGGCCATGGACAACACGGCGGTCACCACGACCATAACGGTCAACATCATCATCACCAACGCAACGGCAGCAACGCTTCTGCAGGCGGTAGCGGTGGATTGTTCAATACGACACTGCCCATGCGGTTGATGACTTTGAAGGGCCAAGGATTCAGCCCGGATCTGTCGGTCTGGTTTGGTACGATCAAGGCACCCGTGACGGAACTCCAATCGGGCGAGATCCTGGTGGCCCATGTGCCTGAGGAGGTGTCATTGGGATCGTCGTTCTATTTTACCAAGGACGACGATGAGGATGATGCGGAGGATGGTGATGACGATGAATCTCGTTCTTCAATGCTTGTAGGAGACGGTAGTGATGGATCTGGTAGCCCCACTGGCACAGCAACAACAACAGGCGATCAGCAACAGGACCGGTTCCACAGGAAGCGTGTCAAAGGGCAGTTTGAATCGGACCGTGTGCCGATCCTGCTGGTTCGCAAGGATGGCGTGGTCTACCGATCAGGCCACAGTATCACCCTTGGGTGAATACGATTCTTTTCATTCTTTTTTTTTCTTTCTTTTTTATTTTATCTCCTGCGTTTTTTATTTTGTACAATTCTTTTTTTTTAGTTACCTTTATGCATTTCTTCACATTGTATCTTTACTTCTGTCTTTTTTTCCTTTTCTATACCCACAATCTACTAAAAAAAAAACACACAACGTCCAGCACATCCGTTTCATTTTTTCAGCAAAGAGGATGATGGCAGTGGCGCGCTGCAACAACACGACTACAACAACAACAACAACAACAACAACAACCCCCCCCCCCCCCCCGAACGAACGATTGTTTTAGTTTGTTTTTCTTTTCTTTCTTATTTTCTTTTTTCAGCATCAAAGCGAGGTGACATGTCATTTGTACATAAAAACAGGCGAGGTAGGATAAAAGGCGATGAGTTATCCAGCAAACAACCAAGCAAATAAATAAAAAAAAATAAAACAGAAAACAAAACGATTGTTTGTTTGTTGTTTGTCCTTCCTCCATCTGACATCCTTTGTCCCCGTTTCCGTTGCAAATCTTTTGTCCAAGTCATGTATGATTGAGAAATGGCCTTATGTTTTTTTATTACTATTAAGAAAAAAAATATCAACGATTTGTTATTAATATGGAAGAATGCACTATCTTTTGGTGATCACTATTGTTGTTGTTGTTGTTGCTGTTGGGAATGCGGATGGTATGTTTGTTGTTGTTGATGATGTTGTTGTTGATGCGGGTGTTGTTGTTGCTGTTGTTGTGGAGGGTATTGAGAATGTGCCGAGGAGGAGGAGGAGGAAGAGGGGAGTTGCTGCTTCTGATGTTGGAGCCGTTGCACTTCTTGGCGGAGGGCCTCGACCTCCTTGGTCATACTATCCTGCTCATCCTTCATGCTTCCAATATAGTCCACCGCTAGTATTTTTTATGAAGGAGGAGGGGGCAATAAGAAAAAAGAAAAAGAAAAAAAAATGTATGGGGTGAGTGTTAGTCATGGTACATACAATCCCTTACGTGTGGGGAAGGGAAAGGAAAAAAAAAAAGAGTTTGGGGTGATGATGGAATAAGAGGAAAGAAGGCCCAATAAAAGCGCTAAAAAAAAACAAATGAATGAGAAAACCTTGATCTGGCCTTCAAAAATAACAAACCCAAACCCTCCCAACGGCAACATGACAGTTATGACGAACATGGGGAAGAAAAAAAAGGAAGAGAGCATTAGCCCAGACCGATCCGTCCACGTTGCTCTCACCTCGACGGACCTCCTTCCCTATTTTCATTTTTTTGCTCATCACTTCATTACATAAAAAAACAAACACTCCGACTACCATAAATAAATTCAAGAGACGGAGCGACGAAAAAAGACGAAGCCAAAAAGGAAAAGAAAAGCGTTACAAAACGTGGCGTGAGGAGAATGATGTGTGTATGGGATGTACCTTTGCTAAGGATCTCCCATTTGCTGGTCTTGAGGGATCGGTCGACCGGCAAGGAATCCCGCAGCTCATCAAAAAGCTCTTTCATCTCCTTGCGCCGTTTCCTTTCGGCCAACTTGTGTGATACCCTCAATTCCGGCGACCGCGAGTAAGGTGTGTCTCCCTTGGAGGGAACCAGCAACTCGCCTGGTGGTGTCGTCGTCGTATTGGTGTTGGTAGGCGAAGTTCCGTTGTATACAGGATACATATGTGGTGGTGGTGGTGGTGCTCCTGAAGAAGACGTGGGTCCTACAGGTAGTACGCCGCCATTCACCAATGGTTCCGGACCCTGATTCGACAAGTGCATACGCTCCATATCCATGTTCATTCGGTGATCGTACTCATGTGGCGGGTAGGCACCCGAACCTGAAGGTGACCCTCCGTTAGCATTGTTGTAGGGATGATGAAGGTCTGCGACCGATGACCGACGAGATCCAGATTCAGAGAGGAGGGAAGGGCGACGGGGTTGGTGGAGAGGGTAATGGGGGCGACCGTATTCCATCATCGACGACGGCGCAGGCGAGGATTTGATCTCGGCGGGCGGTTGCAAGTTCAATGCCGGGACCGAGTTTGCTGGAGATGATGAGGAACTTGCAGCGATGGAGCCTCGACGGGGTGGACTTGAAGGGGCCGAGAAGGAGCTCCTAGGAGGGTAAGGTCCATGTCCATGTCCATGATGAATATGATGATGATGTCCAGGCGTCTGGTGATGCCCATGGTTCGGGTAGGCATAACCTCCTTGACTATGACTTGCAGCAGCGAGGGCAGCAGCGGCCGAGGTGTCCGGGATAGAATCTCGTCGTTTGGCGGGATGTTCCAGAAGAGCGTCCGATATCAAATGAACTTGTGAGAGCCGAGTTCCTGACGACTTCCGTTTCAGAGGTCCTCCACCAGTCAAAGGAGTATCATTGTTCGAGTTGGTACCATTGTTACTGTTGTTAGGATGGTGGAGGTGGTGGGCGATCGAATGTCTCCGCGGAGGTTCCTGTGCATACAGCTGGCCCAAGGGTCCGGCACTACTGTAGATCGAGGGGAGGGATTCTCGGCGCCCTCCTGCTGCTGCCGCTGCAGCTGAGATCTCGGCATGACGGAGTTGTGTCGGTGATACTCCTCCTGCCGCCTGTAGTGGTGCTACAGATCCTGAGGATCCTGGCGAAGCACCTCCATTGACTGCGTGGTTGCTGTTATAATAGTGTCCACCTCCATTGTTATGAGTTGATGGTGGTGGTAATGGCGAAGTATTAGAGGCAGTAGTCGAAGGTGAAGAGGTATCATGGACGGCGATAGAGGGTCTACGATAGATCATATCTCTGTCAGTGTAAGGCTGCTGCTGTTGATGATACTCGGGGTCAGCACTGGAAGCACCAACGGCGAGGGAGCCCCTTCGGGAGTTGGACATGTAGCTGTGGAGCGGGTGCGAGGGCTCGATGGGCGGGAGGGAGCGGCCCTGGAAGACCTCTGTGGCCGAGGATGCCAATAGGGACAAGGACGAAGAAGCGGGTGGCGGAGAAGGGGTATGTTGTTTTCTGTTACTGTTGTTATTGTTGTTGTTGCTGTTGTAGTGGTCGTAAGGGGCGCTGTGACCATTGGCACTGTTGTTATTGTTATTACTTTTGTGGTTGTGAGAAGAAGGAGGGGTGTGATCGTAATACCCTTGGTGCTGTTGCTGTTGCTGGTAGTGGTGATGACCAGTGTTGGAATGAGTCGAGTCGGATGAATAGGTTGATTCTCCTGGCCCTTGCTGATGGTGCTGGTGTGAAGAGGGAGGAGCAGGACTGGTGTTGTCGATGGACATTGATCTCCTGCGGGAGTCGATGTCGCCGTTGTTGGATGAGGACGAGTCGTGGTTCTCGTTGTCCGAGAGGGAGTGGGAATGGTCTGCTGTTGCCCTCATTGTTGCTTAAGCTTGATGGAGAGAGGATGATCTTGAGAGGACGAGGAGGTAGGGGTTGGGGTCTTGGGTTGATTCCTGAAGACGGGCAGACAGAGTGGAGGGAGCAAGGTAGGCAGGAGGGAGGTTAAGATTAAGAAAGAGAAAGGGAGAAGAAGGAAGGAGTGGATGGGATGAACAAAAGAGAAAAAAGAGAAGGAGTAAAAAAACGTGGGAGATGGTCGTTTGATCAAGAAAAAAAAAGTATGCGAGGACGAGGGGTGGTGGACAGGAAAAAAGGAAGAAAAAAACAAAAACAATGAATACATCTAATTGCACACGTGCTCAGCACAGACACCTTCGCATCCCTCTCTTCCTGCACATCCTTGCCTGTTGTTCTATTGTTACACACAACTATCTAACCCATGGTCCATGGCTCATGCCCACATGGCCACACACTCACTCTTCTTACTCACACTCTTGGGATAATAACCTTACTTTTCTCCCTCTCCTATGGTCATTTTTATGGAGCATTAGCATATTTCAACGAACAGTATTCTTCGATCATGGCCCACCTCTCTCTCTTCGTATTGAAACAAAGCGCACAATATGGCTGGACACGCTGACACATCTATTTCTACTTCTCATACACATACCATGCCGTTGAATGTCTATGTCATTTCATATCGGATTCTACCCTCCGGACTTTTAAAGAGAACCTTGTTCCCTCAAAGGAAAAGACTGAAGTGACGACAGAGTGCGGAACGTGAGGTCTCGACCTTTGTCTTTGATCAAGGATTACAAAACGACCAACTGACCCGAACGATAGCAATTAACCCCGCTCTGCTCATCCCATGGACTGGGGGGGGGGGATTGATGAACGGCTGAGTTGGGAACTGCTAATTCACCTGGCCCCATATGGCTCCAGTGACCATTCTCCTTCACCTTTTTTTTTCTCCTTCCGCTCCGTGGTCATGCAAAACATGTGGATCCACCCATCCCCGTCCTGTGTGTAATTGTTACCACATCCATAACCTTCTTCATGACCACGTCTTCAACAATTGACGAATGAAACGACAGGGGAAGAGACAGCATAACAACAACGTGCTCATTCAATCAAGGAACACAAGGGATGTTTGGGCTGTTGGTTGGGTGTGGCCATTTTTGTTCTTATTTCCTTTAAAACAAACCAACCTTTGATATATGTGGTTTGCTTTTCGTTCTTTTCTTCTTCAATGCAGCAGTGGCAGTGGAGGATGATGTGGGCAGAACGCATTACGTCCTGGGAGTGATGGGACAGACAGGGAAAAAAAGACATGAGAGTCGAAAACAAGAATGAGGGCGCGGACTGGCAAGGTTCTTGGAGAGGAAGGGAAAAAGAAAAGATCCTGCATCAAGCATTGTGCCTTTGTAGAAGTGTTACAGATGATGCAAGGGTCAGCCTCCCAGATGCAGATGGGAGAAAAGAAGGAAGAACAAAAAGTAGGAAGGGAAGGGAAGGAGAGAGAGGAAGACAAAGGCGCTTTCAGACCAATTGACATTTCTCTTGCCAATGGTCTCTCTCCAAGGTGAATGGTGCGACAGAAATGATAGGCTTTCCATTCATGGCTACGTTCGTCCATTCCTGATGGCCACCATTCAACTCCAGACTCGAATCCAACTAGGATTTGGATACTGAGTGAAGGAGAAACACAGCTCCTACTCCACAATTGACCCACACTTTCTCTTCTTTTCCCGCGAAATGCCGTAAGCAAGAAAAAAATAATCTGACATCTACCCTTCGCCCCGAATAAACAAACGCAAACGTTGTTGATGTTGTTTGTGTTGCTGGGTTTATTTCAGGTAAAGGTACTTTTCCGATGGAGATGCGAGCGGGAAGGAGACGAACAAGACACAACAACATCAAACAGCAAGAGGGCAAAAAAAAAGGGGGATAAGGGTAGTAGGGAAACACGGAAGAAATGTCAAGAGGAAGAAATATCAAGATGGGAGAATGGCAAATGGAAACGGGGGAGGAAATCAGGCTCTAGGAAGAAACTTCTTGCCTAAAATCGCGCTTTGCCCCTTGCGACAATCTGGCAGTTGGTTGGCAGGCAGTTGAAGACGGATGGGTGCTTACTTGGCTGACCGTTGTTTTTCCAAGAAAAGAAGGATTCTGATCGTCACCAAGAGTTGTTCTGTTCACGTTTTCCTTTCCATTTTTTCACATCATGAGATGGCGAGCGGGGAAACTAATACAACGACGGACGCCAAGGTGCAATTAACTGGCTCATAATAACACCAGACCTGTCTTTGTTGACCACGGCTATTTACTATCATCGTAAAGGTCCTTTTTCTCTGCATGGAAGTGACGATATAATAAGTGTTTTGTGGAAAGGAAAAAGAAGTGAAGGCGGCCAAGCGATTTGTTAATCGCGTTTGCCAGTCTTTCATATCTGATGGGGATCAAAAAGCGATATGGTAATCAGTTTTCATCGCATGTGCTGCCAATTGACGACTCTTCTTCTCCATATCATACCCCACCACCACCCTCCTCCCTTCACCTTACATAAAATGGGCCATGAAACACTATCATCTCACACACAAACACACACTTACATACACTCTCTTCCTTTACTTCATGATGTTCGCTATTATTTTCATCCTTTCCCCCCCTTCCCCCCTTTTTTTCTGAACCATCAACACCAGTCTTCATCTCAATAGCTCAAGAGCTCGGCCGCGTGCACTGCAACGATATCATGGCCCCGGATGGGGAACATCACAAAAACTGTACGAGTACCAGCCTTGCCAAAAGCTGACATATTCCATGATTGGCGCAGGCGTAGTCCCAGACAATGGCAAAAGTTTTGCCAACCCTCAAGTCCCTTCGTCTGGAAAAGCTCATTGACTGATCCAGGCCACCCGCCGTCCCCCTCCCGCGAACAGGGACAAACCAGGGCACAGACCAAGGCATCAAGCAGATCCGGAACGGTAGCATCGACGTGAAGACCCAGCTTGATGACATGAGTATTTTAACGCATGAATGTGGGTGGCACTGTGTCGTGGAGCACATTAAACTTGAAGATATGAATACAAAAATGGGTGTTGTAAAAACATTGCTGTCCTATTTTTATTGTTTCTGTTATTTTGTTTGTCGCGTGGATGTTGGTCGTCCGCACTCCAGTTCCATGATCCGCCAATCAATATTTAAACGAGGGCTATTTTCATTTTGAAGTAATAACAAAGAGAACAGCGTTAGGTATCAACCTCCAACAAACAAAGTATTCAAGACCAATAAACAAACAAACAAATGAACGCCAACTTACTGTCGTAGGGGATGGGGTTGAGGGTGGTGGGGATGTTGTGCTTGATAGTGACGAAACGAGCCTCACGGGGCATGGCGGGCTGTCTCTTCAAGTTGACCTTGACACCATCGGTCTTGGCCTGCAACTTGGCAGCGGCGTTCTCCTTGACGCGACGCAAGAAGTCATCACGGCACTTGGAGTGCTTGATGTGCTCGACGCGGATGTTGACGCGCTTCTCGAGGAAACGGTTGCCAACCTTCTTGTTGATAATGATACCAACAGCGGACTTGGTCACGTTGTAGATGATACCGGTGCGACTATGTTTATGATGAAGCGGGTGGGGGTCGGTTTTTAGGGTTAGTTTCGGGACGCGAGTCTTTGTAGACTTTGTGCGTAGTGTGGTGGTGGAAAGAGTTGGTTTTGCATATCTTGGAGATAGCAGTGATGACTCCTTCGTGCAGAGCGCCAAATGGTGTCACAAATGTCCGGTGAAGTGAACGAGGCTAGTTTGAGGTCAAACTATACCAAGTCCTGCTTCAACCAGTCATGAACAATTCCAGTGGCTAGCACTAGGGGGTTCCTCCTTGACTGTCCCGCGGCAGGCAAGGAGATCATAACATCATCGTAGGCAACAATGAGAGAGCAAAGCAAATAAGAGACGCCAGCTCAAACGAGGCAGAGAAAAACAAGAGCAAATACGTACCCGTGGTAGAACTTGTGGGGCATACCCTTGTGGATAGCACCGTTAGCCTTGATGTCGACGATATCGCCGACCTTGTAGGTCTTCAAGTAGGTGGTAAGCTTGATGGGCAAACCATGCTCCCTGAAGTTACGGGCGAACATGTGGCGGGTGCGAGCGCGGATACCATACGAGTGAGGCATGTTGAATCAGTTCTGGATTTGGTTCAAGTTGAAAGAGAGGAAAATGGGCATAAGTTCACCATGATCTTTTCAACTTTTGAAACAAAGGTCATCCTGATGTCGATGCTGTGAAGAGAGTTGAGAGGCGATTGATGGGATGGGTATAGGCGGGTTGTAAAAGATGTTGGATTCGGCATAGATTTGAATGGTGAATCCAAGATCCCGCTTCCCGCCTTGAACACAATCAAGGATCCCGATCCCGAGTACCAGCAAGGATGACGATGATGGATTCATCCTACTCTTGATAAAGAGCCGATGCTGATCCTGTCCCCGTCACTGTTGAGTCGATTCCATTGAAGTTGATCCCAAAGTTCCTCAGTCAGCCTAGCCATGCAAAGTTCTCATACTCCAAGAGGTCAAAGAAAGAAGAGAAGGAATCAACAACACCCGCAGAAAAGACAAAAAGATATCAACCTCCAATTGCTCGTTGCTGATTGGTTGATGGTTCAATCCATTCTTTTCGCTCTCCTCTCTCCAATGTTTTACGTGACAATTCTTTTTCGTATTTCACGTACAGCCGTAGCAGTCTGCTTTCATTTGATTTGCTTGAACCCCCGGCTATTAACCGGGAGTTCTTGCCTTTTTCAGACACTACTCTGTTGACATCAACAAACATTTCGCTTTCTACGAGGTTATTAAAGTACCTCGCGGCTCGGCATCCTTCTTCTACCATTCAACCTACCCTTCTCCACAACCACAACTACTACAACAGTAAGTTCTCACTACCACCTGTCCCTTACCACTGCCTGTGCCCCTCTTTTGCACGACCCACCACCTGGTGCCATCAAATGTAATCCCTAACCATCGTGCCTCCCTCCCTCTCTCTTCAACATCCCCTGAAAATAGTGCCCTCAGGAGCCCCCAAAAACTGTTCAAAGACCTACAAAGTCCCCCGTCGTCCCTTCGAAGCCGCCCGCCTCGACCAAGAGTTGAAGCTTGTCGGCGAATACGGCCTCCGCAACAAGCGCGAGATCTGGCGCATTGGCTTCACACTCTCCAACATCCGCCGTGCCGCCCGTGAGCTCCTCACCCTTGAGGATAAAGACCCCCGCCGTCTCTTCGAGGGTAACGCCTTGATCCGTCGTTTGGTCCGCATTGGTGTTCTGGACGAGGACAAGATGAAGCTCGATTACGTCTTGGCCTTGAAGATTGAGGACTTTTTGGAGCGTCGTCTTCAGACCCAAGTGTTCAAGTTGGGTCTTGCCAAGAGTATTCATCATGCCCGTGTGTTGATCCGTCAGCGCCATATCCGTGTCGGCAAGCAGGTCGTTGATATCCCCTCGTTCGTCGTCCGTCTCGACTCCCAGAAGCACATCGACTTCTCCCTCACATCCCCCTACGGTGGTGGACGTGCCGGTCGTGTCAAGAGAAAGCGTGCTGCCGCCGCTGCCTCCAAGGGCGACGGCGAGGACGAGGACGAGGAGTAAACTTGTCTGTCGTCTTGTGAAGAAAAAGATCCGTATGAACCCACTGGTACTGTTTTTTTTCCCCTTGTTGTGGAGGACAACCTTTTTGGCGTCGATCTTTTTCTTTTTCACAACCATCTGCTCGTAGCTTCGTCGAGCCTTTCTACCCGTGTCGTTTGCTTCCCATTTTATTATGTAGTCATTTTCATCTGACAAGTAAAAAGAGGACAAACAAGGGGCTTGACATACAAGCGTCCGTGTATTGCCAGCACTCTTTCGTGCTTTACCCAAACCCATATCATTCTCTGTGTATGTGCATGTGTCTTGAAAAGAATGTAACAAAAAGCAAACAGACGAAGTTGTCGGAGCTAGAAAAAAAGGGCGGTTGTATTAAAATGACAACTATGAAGAAAGACGGTTGCTGGCTTCCTGCGCCTCAATACCAGCAGCGCCCGTACAGTAGGACCCTTTGATAAAGGACCGACAGCACTTGTAGCCCCACCTGCCATCGGCCCAGAACGAACCCCACACCGTCGTATGATTGTTGATGTAAACATCTTCCTGGTACTTCGACTTGACCTTGGCGGGCTCGAGACCCTTGACAACCCTTCCTGACCGGGAGTACTCGACATAGTTCTCCGACTGGGCCAACAGCAGCTCGCGAGCAGGCGCGTCCAAATGTTCCTCGCCTCCGTACTTGGCCAAAATGCTGACCTTGTTTTCACCCTGCTGCTCGGCCTTCTTCTCCTTGAACTTTTTGTGCAGCATCTCGGCCTGTGTTGGGTTCGCCTGCAAATGCACATCGGATCCTTTCTCGGCTGCCTGCCAGGCAAACAATTGTACATTCGCCATATCTGTGATGCTTCCAGAGTACCGTTGGAAGTTGTCTCCGGCATAGATGAGATTGTTGGGGTCCTGGTCCTTGAGAGGATTGTCACGCATCGAACGTGTCTTGGGATCGTAATGGGCAGACCTGGGATCCAGATTGTACAAGTACTTTGCGCGATCCTCACGAATTCTATCATTAATTGGAATGGGTTTTTAAAAGTGAGTCCATAATTCCAAGATATACATAAAAGTAGAGCGAACACCATACAGAGCGCCAGTTGAAGCATGTGAATATACCTGAGGTTGCGAATGGTGGTGCGGGTTTTGGGGTTAACCTTCTGTCCAGGCATATCGGACTTATCCGCATACTTCTCCTCATCATCGTCATCATCGTCACTATCCCCAAACTCATTCGCGATATTCTCCATTCTCTCCGCCATAGCCGCAGCCTGGGCATCCTGTTTATCCAGCTCACTCTCCTTCAGTTTCCTCCTCGCCTCTTCGACTTGTTCATACTCCTCGTAGATCTTCTTGTGCTCTGTAGTATCATAACCGTTCCAGCGATCGCGTTTGGCGTCAAAAGACATTTCGACTTTTTGGATGAGTTCGTCTTCTTTGATGTTTTTCCCGGTCCATTTGGCGCCCTTCTTGCGGGGTCGTTCTACACAGTCCTTGGTCTTGTGTGTTGCTGCTCCACAATTCTCGCATGCTCCCTTCCTGTACTTTGTTGCTGCCGGGCCCTATTTTTTTTTCATATGTTTTGAGAATATAGATCAGTTTGTTTGTTTCTTTGTCTACAATTCTTATTAGCCCTTTTTTGGATCCAGACTGCGAATAAGAGATGTCCACTTACAGCTCGCTCTCCACGCTGATACCATTCATCTGTAAACCGATCCGCGTCTGTCTGCGGTGCCTTCTGATGCTTCAACGACGCATGTCCGTCATTGATATACCCTATTTTTCAACCAAAAAAAAAAATTACCATGTCAGTCGACCGTAGTTCTGGCAAACAAAAGAAAAAGCATACACCAAAAGGGTTTCGTCAAACAAAAATGTCAAGAGGAGGAGGAGGAGAAGGAGGGGGTAGGGGGGTCAAGACTTACATGGTGCTTCAGAGATGTATTGGGGGATATGTGGGTTGATTTCGTGACCTTCCTCGTCCCTAGCTGCGGGAGCTGTTCCGGCCTTTCGAGCGGCTTCCAGATCCTTCTGCTTCCTGTATTCCTCTCGACTCAGTTTTGTGCCTAAGGTTGGGTTCAAGCAAAAGTAGAAAATAAAAAAAAAGTGATGTGAGTCTGGGTAGTTCATGGTAAAGAATGGTGTCATTTGTAGTCCTGGTGTTATTGTTGTCTCCTGCTGCTGTTGAAGCTTTTGTTGTTGGGTGGTAGAGGGAGGGTTTGTGTTGCCTGCTGACTTACTCATGATGTGCTGTGTGTGTTTCTTTTGTGTGTGCTGACTGATGTGTAGGGTTGTTTGGTGATGTCTGTCTGTTGGGAAGGCAAAGTCAAAAAAGTGTGTGCGATCAGAAAAGGAGAGAAAGCCAAGTCTCACCGCCCCACTACCCAAGAAAATTAAGGTGACGTCACTCGGTTTGTCGGTTGGTTGAAGGCGTGAAAGACGATCAGTCTGACATCCTTCACCTTCCAACCACAAACCAAGACCACAGACGACCATGGTACGCGAACAGAGCGGGGACGACAAGACGAACAACTGGAAGCCATGGACACTCGGGAAGTCATGGAAAACCCGATTTTGCCCAAGAGGTCATAGAGATGAATGCCTCACTAACCATGGACAAACCTCTATTTTATCATTACCCACTTTTCAACAACAAAATAGGACCGCGCAAACTTGAACAGTCAGCTCGAGCACCTGCAGTCCAAGTACGTCGGAACCGGACACGCCGACACCAGCAAATAGTAAGCCCCCTCCCTTCTCTTCACCCTCTCGGGACATTCAACAAAAAAACACTGCACCGTCAACAAAGCAAACCTATGAAACTGACCACCTCTCCTTGTTCTACCAAATCAATTTTCTAGCGAGTGGGGCGTGAACCAAACAAGAGACACATACGCATCGTATGTGGGCCATTACCCCATGATATCATACTTTGCCCTTGCCGAGAACGAGAGTATTGCCCGTGTCAAGTTCAACATCACCGAGGTACGACTCCTTGCCTACTAAAGCCAAGCGACCTTATTACCAGCATCGTTTCAAGGACATCAACGGGACAAAATACAGCAAGGATCATGGAGTGCGGCGCAAGGAATCAAGAAAACGGGATGTGGTTGAAAGGCGGTATCAGTTATTGATAACATGTCACCTTGTCCTTGGGAAGCACAAAATGGGAATACGGAAAGCATAATGCGGGATCGAAAATACCATGTGTAGTACGGAGACTAACACCACTCTTCTGGTTTCTACTATATTTCCATAATAGAAAATGGTGCAGCCTTGCGGACCCCCACCAGAGCGCCGGGATTAAAGAACTCGACCCCTCGGATGCAACACACAGGAAGGACGGCAACATGTCGCATCCATTCAGGACATCAACACTTCCGATTTTTGTATTTTTATAAAGAACCCCCACTCAACAAACGTCAGTATGGTCAGTCAGCATGATTTAGGGCAGGATTGTGTCATGCGAAGGGATGGTTTCAGTATGTTCAGGATATCGTACAATGCGACATGGCAGAACATTATCAAAAAAAGCACAACCGAGGGTCATCAAGATGTTTTGAAGAGAAAATATGGTTTTATTACAGTACAGGATCAAAAAGTAGAGTGTGGGTATGTTTGTACAGAATGATAAAGAGAGAAGAAATGGACTGGCGAAGGAGAACGTGCCAGGATCAACGGTTTTGGACCTTCAAGGGCGCGAGAAGAAAGAACCGGAACCAGCCTTCTTCTGTCTCTTCCGGTTCCGCTCCGCCTCGGCCTTGGCCTCCTTCTTGGCCTTGATCTCCTTGGCCCTCTTCTTCTTTGCTGCAATTGCCACCGGCGTCGCGTCCGAGGATGGGTTCAGTTTCGCCTGGACTTTGTCCATGGTTGTAGGTTCTGGTGTGCGACTGAAGCGGCTCATGAAGGGGGTCTTCTTGTTCTTCCGCGGGGAGTTGGAAGAGCTTGAGGAAGACGAGCTGGAGGAAGAACCGGAGAGGAAGGTACGCTTTGGCTTGGAGTGGGAAGTCGAGGAGGTGGAGAAGATTCGGGACATGAAGCTTGGCTTCTTTTGAGGGGTTGAGGATCCGAATGTGAGGGTCATGGCTATGAGGTTCTTGGGGTGGGAAAAAAGGAGAGGGTTGCTGTTGATATGAGCTGTTGAGTTTGTTAAGAAATGAAAAATTAGAGGGAAGGGAACGACCATTTTATACCCACCGAGACGCGTCGTGCTTGAAATGATGGTGATGACATTGTTTACATTCTGCACTTTGGTCGGTCATAGGGCTCAAAAGAAAATGCTTATCGATACCAAAGCCAATATCAAACAAACAAATAACGTCTTTTTTAAGCATGACGAGCTTCTTCTACTAACAAAATTGGACTTCATGGGGTTTAAGGGCGTAGCCTTCGTTCAGGGCATTCACAATGAAAACAATGACGAGATGCAGGGCAAGCATGTTTCTTGAAAATAAGAAATATGAGGGACGTCATTAAGGTTACACAAAAAAATGAATGTATGACATAACGATAAGAAGTATGCCTACCATCCTACATAGTCTCATATCCAAATGGTCCCAGAAGAAAGAACCAAAACATGTAGTTGTTATTGGATACGTGCGCGAGTTTTCTAAAGGTGCCATGCAGGCACACATAGTGTACTAGGCACACACTCTCTCTACCACAGGGCTTTACTATTTTTAGGCTTCTTGAGCGGCGCACCACCCTGTCCAGGCACCTGCCCCATCCCCTGACCTGGATATGCGCCAGGCGGCACACCCCCCTGCCCCTGCATCTGGATCTGTTGCCCTTGCTGTCGACCAGGACCAGCACCCTGCTTCGCCAACGGCTTGCGATCAAACCCAGGTGGTGGCGGCTTAATCCAGGGTCCATTTCCGAAGACCTTGGAATCTGAATGGTCGAAGGAGCCCCAGATGTCCCAAATGAATGCGGCGAGGAAGCTGAGGAGTGCGATTACTGATAGGAAGATGCTTGAGTTATACATATCGCACCTGCAGGCCCGAAGAAGTAGAACATGAGGTGGTTAGAGAAAACGATGTCAATTGCTACTGCCTTCAACAGTGGGCCGTAGGCAACAAGAAAGAAGAAAAAGAAGAAAAAAACCTACCACCCGTTGAGTTCTCCGACGCCACAGGGGAATTTCGAGATACAGATGAAGACGTCGATGAGCCAGAGGAGTGACATGAGAATGTCGAGGCCGAAAAGAAGGAAGCGCTTCATTTTCTCCTGACGACGGAGACGGCGGCTGAAGTAGTTGAAGACGAATGCGATACTGACCAGTGTTGAGATAATACCGACCACGTAGTGGAAGGCCAGTCCTGCTTGTGTTGAAAATGGGGATGATGCTTTCGAGACCTATTGGAATAGTGTAGGAAGGTAAGTTAGATATATGTTACACATTACTTCTTGCATTGAAATAAAATGAGTAGGAGACGTACGGGTGACGCGGCGATGAGGAGGACGAGGACGAGGATGCTGGACGAGAGACTGATGAGTCGCAGGATCAAACGTCTCTTATTGGGAACCCTTGCTTTCAACTCCTGACCCTCTTCATCCACTCCCGGGACAGGCAGTACCGGTGTCCGTCCATCAGGGCCCAACTTTTTGCTCGCATCTGACGACTTCTCGAACCCAGCAACCCTCGCCTTACTAACACCACCAACTGCAGACCCAGGTGCTAAAGTCGATTCCGTCTCATCATCTAGATCATCTGGTCCTCCAGGCGCATACCCATAATATGGACCACCTTGTCCACCACCTCCCTCATACTCATAATCGACACGACTCTGACGATACCGATCCCGCTGCTCGTACCCTTCCAGCTGCCGATTCCAGTACCGTCCATCATCTTCCACGGCCGATATGTTTTGTCTATACCCACTCCTCTGCAAGTCCTGCATCCGCATCTGGTCCACCATCGCAACCCGTTCCCGAGGATCGTACCCTCCACCCCCGCGTCCGGCATTGATGAAATAGCTGCCTCGTGGTGGGGTGATGACGGCAAAGTCGTCAAAAGAATCTATGGACCGACGGTGGGGGGATCGGGAGGGGAAGGCTCCTGGGAGGGACGCCAGTGCAGCTTCTCTGTCCATGACGGGTGCTGGTGTCGCAATGCTGTTGTTCTTGCTGTGGCCTGCCACCCATTCCTTGGCCCTGCTCAGTCGATCTGGGACGGGTCTCTGGGGCGAACGATGACGGCCATCGCGGGAAGAGAGCCTCTCTTCCTCGCCCAGCTCAGAGGATATCCTGTCGGTAGAGGCGGCATTGGTGACCTGATGGAGTGCCGACTGTTGGCGTTGGCCTGCTAGGTCTCGTCGCATCCTGTCCGCCTCGTTGTTGTTGCGTTCGCGAGACTGCCGACGACGACCATCTCTGTTGGCATGCCGCGAGTATTCTCCATTGTCCGAGTCGCTTGCTTGACTAAGCGCGCGTGACCTCTCGTACTGCTGTTGTTGCTGTTGCTGTGAGCGCGAGTGATGTTGATGGTGGGACGAAGTCTGTGGGAGGAACGGGCTCATCTGCTCCTGGTCGTCTGGATGAGATCCCTCACGACCATTTAACCAATAAGTAGTAGAACCACGATGTTCCTGACCAGGTGCGGGAGGAGGCGATAGCGAATGAAGGCGGGCTCGACGGTCAATAACGGCGTTACGACTCTCCCTTTCCTTGTGATAACTGGACGACCCTGAATCCTCCTCGTCCCTGACTCTCAATCCCCGTCCACCTGCACCACTGTGTCCAGGCTTTCCCTGGCGATGAACAGGTCCATTTCGAGTACGCTGACGTTCCTTCGGTCGACCGCGCTGACCCCTCGAAGACGAGACAACATCCTGCTCCTGCGTATACTGTTGCTGTTGGTGGTAGTGCTGTTCCTGCTGACGGATATGCAATTCCTGCTGCTGTTGTTGGATCTGAAGATGATGCAGCAATACTGCATCGACCTCCTCTGGCTTATTGGCACTAGCTACAGTCTCCTTGGTCGACGTTGCTAGTGCACGCTCTTTGTCCTGAGTCTTGCCGAGTCCGGTCTTGGCCAAAGCATCCTTCAGTCCAGCCCCAAACTTGGACATTGCCGTCTTATTCGTCCTCCTCGACACTTCATACTCATTCTCCTCCATGTCGACCTCCCTGACATACTCGCTCCTCATACCCCTCTCCAACTCGATACTCTGCCGACTCCGCCCAGAAACAAACCCCTTGGTTTCCTCAACTTCAATATCCAAATCCATCGTCTCTACCTCCCTGATCTCCTTCCTCGTGTGCTTGGCCGTGAACGCATTAAACCGACTAACACCATCAGGTTGTGCAGGGTCTAGAGGGAAGGGGTTGGGGTTGTAGACGGTGCTGGGGAGGTGAGGACGGGGTGCGTGGGAGAGGGAGTCCATGGAGTCGTTGGATGCTGCTCGGAGGGTCTTTTTGGCGGGTTTCTTTTTTTCTTGGTTGCTGGTGCGGAGAGGGGATGTTGGAGCAGAGGAGGCGGAAGAGGAGTTGATGTGAGGGGAGGAAAGGCGGGGTGGGGGGTCGAGATCTTTGTTGGATGATGATTGGAGGCCGAACTTTTTGAGCATGTTCTTTGTTCCTTATTGTTTGATAGTGGGAGTGAGGTTTATGTGGTCTGTGTGTAGAGGCGAGAAGTGGCGAAACAGATGGAAGAGAAGGGTAAGGATGGAGGCAAAGAAAGTGGGGAAGGAAGTAAGAACGAAAAAAGAAGGCAAAAGGGAAGAAAGGATATTTTAGAAGGGAGAGGGCATGGATGATGTTTGCCAAGGCAAGGATGAGTAGAGAGAAGAAGAAGCGTGTTCCTGTGTGTGTCTCCTCAATGTCGAATGTCACCCGTGCCCACAAAATACCCACTCCGAATAGAGCGTGATGTGCATGCATGACCCCTATTTCAACTCCCTCTTTACACCTTCTACCGTGATATACACAACAGACAACGTAAACAACAAGTGCCATGGACCTCAAGGCCTCCTTTTTAATCATCATTCGCTCGTTGTTGTTATTCTTGGCTATCATCACTGCACGCAGGACAGTTTGTTCACTCTCCCCTACCTTTCCCTCACAAATATAAATGAAAAAAGCCCTCCACACAGACAGATGATCCATCCGCTGCTCCCCCTTTTTTCGATTCACCTAAATTTATCGTGCTTCCATTCTCCTTGTAGATTCGCTTGCGAAATTAGGTATGCACCTCGAAATGGCTGAACGGACAGAATGATAGAAAGACAAAAGGAAGGGGAGAGAAAGCATAGCCTCTTTGCCGCAGAGCCAAGCCTTCCCAAATTGCTCTCCTCTTTCCCCTGGCCTGAACGTAATTCGGTCAGACTGACTGCACCCTTTGTTAACTACGCCTCCACTAGTTAAATACCCTCACTCCCTGTACAAGTAAAACGGCATCTTTTCCTAGCCTTCTTCTTTCTCCCTTGTCCTTCTTGCTTTCTTGTTCCTTCGTTCTTACTCGCTTGATCTATTGCTATTACATTAAAAACCCCTCCTGTGACTACATCATCATTGCCCTCATCATCCCCGTCAAGCCTGTAAACCCTCTTCATTTTTCTGACAACGATGTTCCAGACATATCCCTTCGATCTGCCTGAGCTTCGCTCCATAATTGCAGCAATTTTGGCCTCAAAGCGTGTGAGTCAGGATTGAAAGGGTTCATTTTACATCAGCTCTCTACAAGTCCGTCGTTTTGTCGGAACATGGCCCCAGCATGGAATAGTCCCCTCGTCGGTGATGCGGAAGTCCGTAAGAGATACACTGCGGACATGGTTCTTTGACCGGGGCGTGTTCTCCGGTACAACTCCGGGATCTGTATGCGCACATCTAGACGGGATGCCTCCCTGGTTTCTCCCGAGTCCCGTACCTTGGTTGTCTTCTCTTCTAGCTTTTTGTCCACTTTGTTCGCTGGTCCATCTACGGTCCTGTTAGTTCGTTAGGCGAAACTTTCGAGGGCTACAGCTTGCTATGGGAGTCGAGCGGTCTCTGGTTTTCATTTGATAAACTGGCGGGGCGCACCTCTACCATACCACTTTCTGCAGGAGGCATTCTCATCGCCATCGTGGATGAACCTTAAGCAGAGGCAGCACCAAACGCTCAAGGGAACGACACCGAGACTAGCCCGACCAAAGCCACGCCAAAGAAGGCTCGAAAGGAGGGGATGATCCTAGGCGCCTAAGTGACTGAGACCTGGGAGGTGTTCAAATCAGGATGGGGGTAACGACTCGTTTGCTCTTTTCGAACTCTCGCCGTGTTTTGAGGTCTTTCCTTGAAGAAGTCACCAAGCACAGGATGGACTACAGAGAGCGCACCACCTACAGCACCGTCAATGCCGGGTGGTCGAACAACGCGTACCAGTCCAACAATTGATAGCGGAGAATCATGAGGACTCAGAATCTCATCATTAGGACTCAGACACTCATCATCGGTACTCAAAAACCAGTACCACATCCACTTTCTCAAAAAGTCAGGCGTCAGTTTGAGTGGGCAGGAATCCTAGAGCTAGATGCTCTACATGGAAAACAACCCGCGATAGCAACTACAGACATAATTTCGCAGGCGGCAACGTGTACATGAGTGTAGGAGGCGCTCGACAGTCTGAATTCGAGGTCGATTTTGAGATTGTCAAGTATGAGGCTTGGGGACTGGGTGGACCCGAGGCTAGGGCGCAACAGCAAAAGGAAGACTACTCACATAGCCTTTCAATTTTTCATACCTCTGTCCTATAGAGCATTTGTGGCAACACTTAGAAACAAGCTTTGCGAGTGTGGGTTCATTCCTGAAGGCAATATTGACCTGTGGAATCGACTGAGCGAGATCTGAGAAGAGGAGACGCCAATGGAGGTCTGCCACAATTCGATTCGAAGTAAACCCGAATACAAGCTGCCATCAAGGCAAATGAAGGCAAGACATGATTTTGATATGAAAAATCATATGTGTATCCTCTTTTATTATGAACCGTGACTTCCGAAAAAATTGAAAATGAAAATGGGGAACTCTAGCCGGCCTGTTGATCTCTATCTTCCTTCCTCACGGCCAGAACGCTCTCCCAAAATCTCTATGCACCCAATCCCACGGCCCCGATGTCGATATCGACGCTCACACGACCCTTCGCCTTATTCAGGAGATCGGAAAGACAATTCATGTTACCTGCGACAACATGACGATCATCGCCCAGCTCAACAAATTCGGCGGGACGAGGGCTCAACCACTACCTGACCTGACGATTAGGATATGGCACCACTGCATGGTGACGGTCACAGGACTCAAGACGACATAAATTCCTTCACAGTTCAATCCAGCAGATGCACCGTCCAGGAGGATGACAACGCAGCTGGAGTGATCGATCGACAAGTCTTTCTTCCAAAACCTCGAGTCAACATGGGGTCACCACCATATCGACCTATTCGCAACAGCAACGAACTCCAAAGTTCCTCCATATATCTCATGGAAGCGGAAACCGTCTGAGGCCAGGACGCGTTCAATAGCTGCTGGTCCAACATGAACAGAGTCTGCGCGTGACCACTGTGGTCTCTAATCAGTAGGATCCTCCAGAAGAACAAGCAGGACAAGGTCAAGGCAACGGTCATCACTCCATTCTGGACGAGCGCGCTCTGGTACCCTACAATCACAGCCATGTCGGTCGACAAGCCTCTACGGATCCCGAGGAACCAAGTCTTGCCAGCTCCGGGAACAGTCCATACATCCTCGAGAGGAACCCAATGTGGTCGCTCTCAGCTTGGAACGTTGACGGCAACAAGCAGTAGAGAAGGGAGCACCCGGGTGTTTGAGCACTACCGCCGCGCTAAAGAAGGGGATCCTATTGAACGACGTTGTCACACACGGCAGTCGGTCATCCCCAGCCATTGTCGAAGCGTTCTACAGGATCCCGCGATTCCTAACAAACAACCTCGACACAGCCATTCTTCCCCAACTCTGGATCCACAGATAGAGTCCCTGACAAGGAAGAATAACGGTTAGCGTTGCCGAATGTAATGACGGATAAAGCCTATTATTCGACAACTCCATGGACTCTAGATGTCCCACCCGACCCGACCTTTTCTAGCAAGTAGATAGAGAGCTACAAATCGCCTAGAGTCCCCCTTTTATTTGTTCCTGAAGTCACGGCTAATAATAAAAGAAAGATAGAGACCCGCAAGGAAGAATAATGGGTGCAAAACTGTGCAAATCACTCATGGTTGACTAAAGATACAACATTTATTTCAATCACTGGTGGATATAGGAATAATATACAAGTTTACTGAGAATTGGAGAGATGTAGATATTAATGCCGTTTTTTGTACTGAGGCGGCATCAGCTTAAAATGTGCACCGTCGCGTTGGTCTCGCGTGTCTCAGCCAGCGCTTGAGCTCCGTAGTCCCCAATAGAGTCTACTCAAGTCTAAATTGACCAAAGCTGAGTTTATCCTAAGTGCCTCAGCCAGCGCTTCAGCTCCTTTGTCACCGATCGAGTTGTTCTTCAACCTCAAGGTTGTCAGGATCGAGTTTTTCCTGAGTGCCCTTGCCAATGCTTTAGTTCCTTTGTCTCCGATCATGTTTTTGTTCAAGTTTAGAAAGATCAGAGCTGCATTGGTCATGAGTGCCCGACCCAACGCCCGAGTTCCATTGTCTTCGATCAAGCCGTCGCCCAAGTACAACGTTTCCAGCGTCGAGTTGATCGCGAGTGCCTCAGCCATTCCCTTAGCTCCATCGTCTTCGATCCAGTTGTCCCACAAGATCAATGTGATCAGCGTCGAGTTCGTCTTGAGTGCCTCGGCCAATAGGGGGTTGCAAACCTTGACATTCGACGGCGTGTAGCCAAATGCGCGGTCAAGGAAATGAGCCATTTCGAAATACGCTTCGATTTGAATGTGGGCATGCCAAAATTTGAAACCCCCTAAATAAGGCCTGAGTTCCGTTGTATCATCGTCGAGTTGGCCTTGAGTGCCTCAGACAGCGCCCTGGACTCCGCTGTCTCCGATCGAGTTGCTGCTCAAGATAAAAATGACCAGACTCGAATTGGTCAGGATGCTCGAAAGTACTTTGTTTTGTGGAGATGTCGAGGATTGGTTTTCGTATAAACAGCCCTGAACCTTACCTTCAGGTTCTTAATGTTTCTCTCGATGGATTCCATGCTGAGGCCATGTTCCGACAAAACGATGGACTTGTAGAGAGCTGGTGGAAATGAGTCCTTCCAATCCAGACTCACACCCACACAGGATGTAAGGTCTTTGAGGCCAGGATTGCTGGCAATGATTGAGCGAATCCAAGGTAGATCGAGGGGAAAGATGAAGAGGGTGACAGGCTTGGTGGGGATGACGGGGATGATGAGGATGATGAGAGCAGTGATGGGGTGGTCACAAGAGGGTGCGATAATGTGGTAGCAATAGAGCAAGCGAGTATGAAGGAAGGAACGTGAAGGGGAGGAGAGGGTGGGGAGCAAGAAGGAGAAAGGAGCAGGAACTAGTGAAGGTGCGCTTGTCGACAATGGACGCTAAATAACGTCACCGAAGCGACACATCATAGCACCCACTGCCCTCTACTAGCACTAATGCATGCATGCGAACATGCAGAGCTTAACTAACCTAAGTCTTGAACGCCATTTTACGCCGCTCTCAATCCGCTCTCGTGGTAGTCGCTGTCCTTTTGCCGTGTTCTTTCATTCCGCTGGTGGCACTTCAGGAGGCGGTAGAAAAGATGACGGCGGTGGCGGTGGTCGCGGCGTTGCTGGAGCTGGAGCTGGGTCCATCATCGCGTTTGGCTTTCCTACGAATGGAATCATTACTGGCAAGTGGCTGCAGTTAACCTAGGTGTTCCTGGTTGAGCAGATAGCCATGATATTCTGGGCGGCCATAACGTTGAGGGGATGGTGTGAATTTTCCTCATTTTCACCACTTTTTCTTCAAAGTACCTTGGCCACTTGGAAGAAGATTGCATAGTCGTAGGACCCTCGTTTGGCAAGCTCAATAAAAGTTCTTCAGGTCTTAGGAACGTCCTGCGCCAGATAGGCCCACAATAAAGTTCTGGAAAAACAAAGGAAAGAAGCGAATGAACATTATAGATTGGACGCTGCCACTGTCAGGATTACAGTAAACAAAGTAGCAAGACAAATAAGAGTAGGGTCAATGCGTCGATCGTGTATGCGTGCTACCTGCGGGAAAGTACAGGATTCGAGGTTCACATTGAATTGACTGTGTACATGGTCAGCTTATTTTACTTTTGGCTAACCCGTACCCTATGAGGGCCATGTAAAGAGCTGGGTCGACTGGACCTGCATCTTCACTCTAGAACACCAAGGATGCATTTCTCAGGAACAGGTGGTCCACACATTCAGAACGTGTACAGCTCTTTCGAGCAGCTCGATCCATCATCCATGGTGTCTTTCATGACCATAACGCAAGGTGAACTCTAAAATTGGTGGTAACAGGCAATTTTGAACCTCTTCTTTCCTCATTTTCCGTCTTCAAACTTAGAGCCGCGGAGCGAGCAAATGCACAGTGGAGCAGTGCATCGACCGACACCTTACCACGACCATCACGCAATAACATCACGCAAATAACAAGAGATCATACTGAGAAGTAGAATGGGTTCTATTTGTTCGATGCTCGAGGTATCGCAATACTATGTTTGTTGGCGTTGCAATTTTGTCCGTTGTAGGGTTGATGTGACACACAGACACGACAGGCGGTGTCTCGGCCAGATAAAGTTGCAAGTGGAGTGAAAATATCAAGCGCGAGGGGAATGTTAACCAGGCTGTTTCTTGAGAGGGCGAAAAGTCACAAGTGACCCTCTTGTCAGTACACCATGATGTGCAACACAAACACAAATTGGATGCCAAGCCTCAAGTTCATCATTCAATGAGCAAATGTACAAATGCGGTGTAATCCTGCAAGTGCAGTGGCTACTTGAGAGACTAGACAAGGGAATGCACTCGAAGTGCCTGGCCATTTGACTTAAGCTATTTACAGCTCTATCTAACTTGGGACAAATGCGCAGAAGTATCTATCCGCGGTGTCGACTGCACAACCCCAAAATCCTTCTACGCCAGGGTGGCATTTGGCTCCATATTCGACGCACAAGTAGTCAGCATCCTCATCATCCCTCTGGCGCAACAATTTGGCTTCAGCAAGCAGCCTCTTGCATTCAGTATCTCCGTTGCAGGCATACGGGACGGGACCGACCGTACGAAGAACACGGGTGTATGTAACTTGTTTGCCGCCATGTCTTCCGATTGTATAAGCTTGTCCGAGGTTGGCGAGATATGTAGCCAGCAATATGACAGTTGCCCTGATACGCATACTTGGTCAGTCTACGTACGATCGTAAAACAATATTAGCCTCCACGCATAAGGATAATCATTATACTTCGAAATGCCACGCTGCCTTACTCTGAGAGTGGGAGATGTGCTGGTCGCGGTTTAGAAACTAAGTGCTTGAGGTGGAGCTGAGGTGAAGGCCTTGGAATTTGAAATTAAATGCTGGAACAGAAGAGACTGCATTTATATGCGATGATTACTTTATGGTGGCACGCACCTTGATGACGGCGATTGTAGACATGAATCTATTCAACCGCTTTGGGTATTTCATTGGAGGCGCAAACAACCCTACACTAGGTCCTTCTGCCTAGTATAGGGAGATCCTTATAGAAAATGATGAACCGCCTGCAATCGCTGCAGTTGGGCGACCTGAACATGAACTGAGTGAGCAAGAGCAGCAACTAAAATTCGTACAGCTACTGCAACCACCTTTTAGTGCCAATGCTTGAATTGACCCGCAAATTTTTTGTACCCATCCACTGATGGAAGTAGTTTTGACTGTCCCCCTGAGGTACTGTCTACCAACGCCCACACAGACCCATCCCTCAAGCAGAGGGCAGGTCAATATCAAAATCCTATTTGGAAAGAGTGCGAAATGAATGTTGTTGGCTCGTTAACCGTACGATTGGACTCAAAAAGGCAGAAAAGAGTGCGAAGTGTCTTGGTCGTTGACGAGTCCTAAATAAATATGATTGGACCAATGTTGTGCCAAATGGTCATCATTTTTCTTGACCGTTTGGCGCTCATCAATATTACTAAAACGAGGAAAAACCAACAATACCAGATGGAAGATTCAATACATCCTTTCTTTGTTACTTTCTCACCCACTCCATTTAGCTTCGCGCTATATATTCCCTTATTTGAATGGTTTTTTTGGTGTTTTAGCACCCCTTTATGTTTTGATGTTGACCTTCCCTCAGGATAGGCAATTGTGCAGGAGTTATTGTTCCAACCTCTGGCCACGTGCCGCATCTGAATCAACTTAGCGGACAAGATCCGCAGTATGATAATCAAGGATCGTTTCTTTCAGGATCCAACCATCAATCCCTCGCAAGCTGACGCTCTGAACTGGCTGACCAGTACGACCCCTGGTCGCTTCGTGACTACTTTCCTGTCGGATGTTGGCCTTCCGCCAAACAAGCACGACAAAGGCTTCCGCAAAACGACAACAATCATGGATATGGACGGCAAGGACGGGAAAGAAGGACTTCGGGAGCACCTCGGATGTCTACGGGCCGAGAAGTTTGATCCCAAGGAATGGTATGGCAAGGGCTATGTTCTCAGAGGCTCGATCCGTACTAACGTCCGTTTGCTGCAGCTGCTGGCCTTTAAACTGAAAGAAATTCAGTCCGTCAGATACCGTCGTTTTCCCGAGAACAAGTTGCCCAACGCGCTCGTCACCACCATCGGCGGTACCAACGGATATCTGACAGAGGTCCGCAATGTCTTCTCTACTGCCACAGATGTGGAGAACCTGTCAGGTGCTGACCCTAGTCAAGTTGGAGTTCTGTCGCTCGACTTGGGTACCTCCTGCCTCGCCGGCGCCACCATCTCACTCCCACCCGGTCAGACCCCTGCAACATTAGCGCAACCCCCACGGCAAGGAGGGAGACGAGAAGCTGAAGAAGAAGAAAAAGAAACGACGAAGCAAGCGGAAGCCCGGTTATCGAAGACGGCAAAGGGCAAGGCAAAAGGCGCGCAAGCTGAAGGAACCTCAGACGACTCGGTACTTTGATCTGGTGGTCAAGCGCAAAGCTGTGTCGCGACCATCGGACAGCTTTGCCGGCTGGCTCGAGGACAGAAAGGAATTCACCACCGGGTCATCTACCGGAAGGACCATTAAGGACATCGAGACCGCTCTGCCGCCTCTCATGGGAGAAGGTGCCTCGTTTCGAGAGTACGTTACCGCGCGCCGAGCATCGGAGGAAGATTTGGACAACTTCTACAATCAAACCAACTTCTGGAAACACAAGTGGGACTCCGAGGTGTGTCGGCAAGAGGAATTCTGCAAGGTTGCTGAGGGCCTGCTCAAAATGATCGGCGGATCTGTTGGGTGGCCAAGGATGCCGCATCAACGAGTTGTGATCGCAATTGGACTGGCCAAGTTTACTGGTGTACATGGCCCACCTGGACTCAACGGCACCTTTCAAGCGTTTTTCATCAATCTGGTAGGGCACATCTTTGCGACGACTGTTCAGCAGGGCCATTCCTTTATAGCGACATGCTAATAATACCTCTATTTTTTGTCTTGACTTAGGCTCGTTCGTTGGGCTATTTGGTCATCGGGATCAATGAGTACTTTTCATCCAAACGATGCCTATACTGCCATAACTTTGTTTGTGCGACGTCGGATTTGTAAGCGCTTCTGGCAGCGTCATGTGATGGCATCGAAAAACATTAACAATGCCATCAAGGACCATCTGATCCACCAGCAGCGGCCGCTCTACCTCCAACCTCAGCGCCGAGACGGAACTTACCCATGGATGGATGTTACTACTGGTGGCGATAGTGGTGGTGGTGGCGGAGAGGGAGCAGATGGGCCACCTGAGGCCATGGACGTCAGTGTGGATGGAGCAGGCGGCAATGCTGGCGGAGGACCAGCAGCAGCCAGCCCGTCGATGGCGGCGACGACCACTGTGAGTGGCCCAACCAGAAAGAGACGTGCCACTTCGATCGTCTCAGTCGAGGACCCCAACACTGATGTCGTTCCCACGGCTGATACACCATCCGTCCACACCAAGAACAAGTCAAGGAAATATTTAACGCAGGAGTTTCGCCATATTACGGGATGTATCATAGCAATATCATCCATAGTTTGATATGCATGCTTGTCAGCATGTTCCATAGTGTTGGGTCACGTGAGCGATGGCGCGAGATTACTAACTTCGGTGACGTAATTCTCGCGCCCATGGTCCTGTTTCCAGACGGGGCGTAAATTTCGTTACCATGCCATCCTGCACCCAAAAGCAGACAAAAAAAAATACCCCTCCTCTTGTCACCACCACTCCTTTCCTACCTTTGCCCTTTTGCCACATCGCCTTCATCAATCACTGTCGACACCGCTCCCACGCCCCATCTCCTCGCAGGCCGCCGCAAGACCCTGTTGTCATCACAACCCTTTTCTCAATCACAGTCTTTTGCTAACTCTCCGCTTTTGCCATCTTTTCCTTCTTTGCCATCTCTGACAGCGCCTTTGACCTTTTCCCTATTCTTCTGCCACACATCATTTCGCTTTTGCCACCGCTTCTACAGCCCACCATCACTCCCACGCCAGTCTCCTCCGTTGTTTTCATTGGCGTCTTGTTTACATCCTCGCCCTCCCGCATTACATGTCCAATTGCGGATCGGTTAGTGCTCATTCGCTCACTCCCTCCTGCCGACTCTTGGCGCTGTATTTCTTGTCTCTTCACTTCGTACTTGGTTAAGTGTGTGTACGCCAATATAGTACAACAAATCGGACAGGAACATTGTGACGCGGGGCTTTGATTCGTGCGAACTGGTCAAGCAATGACGACAATGCACTTCCGTCGGGTTGGTCAGGGGATCTGAGGACACCCTGATTGAGTCCCCTCTCCAGTCTTGGTTACTCGCGCCACTGCCACTTGCACATTCGGAGCCTTGCCTGACCTTTGGCTAGATGGATGTACAAGTGGTAGAGCTACTGGTTTGGGGACGTCATCCCTGGCTTCAATGTTCCTAGAACAGATTCGTGTTGTGACGCGGGGCATTGACTCATTCGAACTGGTCAAGCAATGAGGACAATGCACTTCCGTCGGGTTGGTCAGGGGATCTGAGGACACCCTGATTGAGTCCCCTCTCCAGTCTTGGTTACTCGCGCCACTGCCACTTGCACATTCGGAGCCTTGCCTGACCTTTGGCTAGATGGATGTACAAGTGGTAGAGCTACTGGTTTGGGGACGTCATCCCTGACTTCAACACGTTCTGACGAGGAGTTGCGTTTTGGTGCTGAATATCTATTACTAACTATTTTCCTCTGCAAAAAAATTACATATAGTACGTACAATGAGTCGTCTTCCGCGTGAGCTCTACATAGAGCAGCGTTCATTTGAACAGTACGATGCAATCGATTTCTTCGATTTCTGTGACTTCTTCTCGGACGAAATGACGGAAGCTGGCTTTCAGTGGAGATCATTCATCCTACCGTATGTCCTACAAGAAGATCCAGCCCAGCACAAGCGTCTTGTTGCGTCTTGGGATGAATCGAAGCGTACTCGACAGAAATATTGGGACAGTAAACAGTTGGAGGAGAAACGGGTTGCGCAACTCGTAAGTATATCCATATCCAATGTTGATAATATTAAGAAACGACTGTTTCAGTACTAACTTGGGTCACTTTGTTTTTTAGGATGATCACATTGATCACATCCGAAAAGATACGATACAACAAACACAACATGTTTCCAACTCCCTCACCCGAGATGTTGCTGGGCGACTACAAGGTATAGCTGCCCTTGCCCAAATCGTCCATTTTGGCTGCTTCAATCAATTTCTCATTTCAATTGTTTCTTTCTCCGGGATTAGGATTACCTGCTGCTACGTCGACCTCATCGCCGACAGCTCGTAACATCCAGAACAAGGCAAGTTATGCATTGTTCCAAAAAGTGAGCGAGAGGTTTTCTTTTCTAGAGTCATTGCTGACCCTCTCTGAATACTTTCTCTGTATTTTGCCTGTACCATTAGAACACCTTTATTGATCCATTCGGAGAGGAGGATGCCTCGTCCAGTCCGTCTACGTGGGTCTTGTCATCAAGGTTGAATAGAAAGCGAACCGCTGCCGGCGTTAAGAAGGATCTGGACAACGCTGAGACCAGTGATGAGAACGTCCAGAACCCTGAGCCGTTCGTGGATGCTGAGGGTGCCGAGAGCGATGAGATGGCCCAGTTTGGATCGAATACCAACGACGATACAGACACGGAAGGCCATGTGGTGCATGATGTGTCCGTCGATGACAAAGGTATGCAAATCAAAGTGGACTACGCTGAGTGGAGGCCGTCAATCTGTCTATCTCACATCTTGTCAATTGAATCTCGACGTTTTAGAGGAATTACAGGAGATTGAGGAGGCCATTGCCTCTGCGCAATCCCCTTTTCTGCCCTTGTTGGAGTACCTGTACAAAAAGGTAAGGAGTTATTTCCAAACCACGGTGAACCTGGTACATCGTCATGGTCTACATCGTTCTAATATAATGTTAACACTGATATCAGGTGAAAGGTCAGGATACAGAGTTGCCGCCAGTCCCTCCCACCTTCATCTGTCAAGAACACAAGGAGCTTTACCAGTATGCATATGAAAAATTGCATGCAAAAGACCAGGAGGACAGGGACAAGGGCAAACGGAAGAAGGACAAGAGTCGGCCGTACCATGTGGATAAAGATGTCTTGTAAGTTACAAAGCAGTTGCGAGTGATTGTGTGTGATCCCATATCCCTATACCTAGTTCTAACCATGGACTGCTCGCTTCGCTGGGTGATAGGGTGGCCTTAAGCGGGATTGTGAACACAATTTCGCCTTCTACACGGTCGTTCACGTCTACGTCAGCTATCAAAATCGACTCCTTGGTGATGGCTCTGGACGAAAAAGACAATGATCTTGCTGGGCTGATGGATGAGTTGGCGGAGGCATATTCCCCTGGGCACAAGGAAGACCCTCTCGCTCCATTGGATATGGAATCTCTGCGAATGAAGATGTGGAGCCTGCTTTTAGAGAATGGTGCCACCTCACCCAAGACCAGGATCGTGAGGCGAAAAATGCAAGTGCTGCAGGTGGTCGACCACATATGTACACTGATCTCAACGAACCAGCTCGCCCCACCGACAACTGAGCATGTGGTCGTATCAGTGTGGTCATTCATTTTAGCAGTGCTGCTTGGAGGACAGGTGGTCCGCGGCATACCGTAAGTTGTAGTGTGCTTTGTCTGCAATGCAGTCTGGAAACCGTACTAACGCAGCTTATACTAACACAGTCCACTGCACCTGACTGACATAGTGGCGAACTTGCATCCCAAGCAGCTAAGGATGTTCGCTTGCATGTGGAGGCCAAATACGGTGTAACGACGAAGAATGTGAGAGGCCGAAAGGTGGATATCAGCGTCCGTGTCTTTGCGAATAACACTTGGGACAACGAGATCTGCATTTTCGAGTTCAAAACTAGCACGGCATCAGACCTGGTTTGTGCAAAGCAGCAGCTCAAATCAGTGCGTATCAATACTGCTGTTTTGCACGACTTGGAATTCAAAGGAGTGGATACGTGCAAGCACTTCCCCATTATCGCAGAAGGACGGGGTTTTTGCCTGAGTTTCTACACTTTGAAACGAAACGGGGACGTCATCACTGCTGGAAGATCCACTCGTGGTATGGTCTGGATCCCCTCCGACATGGTGCAACTGAAGCAATTTCTAAAATCTGACTCGATCCAGATTCTGTTGAAGTTTGCAGTAGGTCCACGAGCTGCAAATCTGTTGATGCTTAGAGGGGATGTAACTGCTGGCTTTCTTATTGACTGATGATTATTTATGTTTAGGACCACACATTACGATATGCTGTGTATGTACAAGAAACTCTGTCCTTGATCCGCCGACCTCCTCTGCCATCGACGCCTCCTCCCCGATACAAAGAGCCCTTTGCAGCCTTCACTCCACACAAGCACAACAAGCGAAAGTATATAGGGGAGACTGATGAGGATCAGGACGTTGTTGAGGATCAAGACGACGAGGAAGATATGGAGTGAAAGCCTTAGGCTATGGTCCAAGGCCACTTGTACTTCATTTTTCATTTTCTTTACCCTTTTTTCTTTCTGGTTCAGTAAACTTTTGCATTTCTGAGCAATCACAGACATGGTTTAGATGTGAAGTGTGTGGTGGCTAGAGGTGAGACGAGTGAGTGACAATAGGAATGAGGGTCACATTGATATAGCGAGAAAGGAGGAAAGGAAGATGTATTCCAAAGGTCTCCTGCGAGCACGTCCTTGATGAGGACATGCCCTCACTAATCTTCGTTAACTAAAAAAAATAATTAAAGGATGGTGGGTGCTGAAGGCACGATCAAGCACACAGTGCACTAGTAGAGTGTTGCAACTACTGATAGACTCATCCAACTTCATTCTCAACCTAAAGGTTTTCATTCCTCAACACGTAAAAATATATCAATGCGCGAAAGACACCTCGAATGCATGATTGAAATTGAGATTGAAAAACGCGTGTTTTTCGCGTCAGGAGAATATTTTTTTTCGGAAGAACAGAAAGAGAAAGAGAACTAAAAGTAGCGTTGGTACAAGGTGTGGTATTGTGTCAAAAAATACTGAAGAGAATGAAGAAAAATTATGCTAGCCGAACAAATGATTAGTTGTATAAGAATAGATATGTACGATGCAGATATGAACAGGAAATTGTATGACACAGGTGGTGAAGCTGGAGGGCAGTTCCAAGAGGTATAGAAAAAAAAAGTACCGACGGTGTTGAAATGTAAAGAGAAATGAATAGCGTTCCCGGTGGTTGCCTCGTGCTGAATGGCGGCATCGCTGAGCCGAATTGTGTTGCCTCTCGTGTTATGTGTCCGTTGACACGCTGATGACCCCTTACTCTCCGTACGGTTCTCATCCTCCAACATCACTCAGAAGTGGTCCGCTGAGGCAATGCTGCAAAGATGACCATGATGACAGTCGACCAGAAGAAGCAATAGGTCAACATCCAATATGCTCTCAGCCTATGCCGGATCCTGATCGAGGGCTCCAGAACCTTTCTGAACCTGAACAAATGCTTGTCCTCGCAACTATTCAAATCATTTTGCACAATAAGAAAACGCGAGTTAGGGTGGTTGGCCTGCAAGTTTTTTGTCATCACGACTGTGAGCAAATGATACTATGGGACAAGAGGACTTACATTTTGCCGGCGATTCCAAGGAGGGGCGAGAACCGCTTAATACCAGTCGCGAGGCAAATCGATCCAGTCCACCCACCAACGGTTCCAACAAGATATACCCAAGGGCTCTTCCATCCACCCTGACCAATCAAGACCAACGTCAATTGCGCCGCCAAAACTACCAACCAGATGGCAATCCCACTCCAGATCATCCCACGGCGCTTGAGCACATTGTTGGGATGGTGACGCGTCAAGAGTCCCAGGTTCTGCTGCACGACGTACTTGAGGAACAAGGGGTAGTAGTGATCCTGGAGTACGATGTCCGTCACAAAGCCCTTAGCAGGTCCGTACAGGTAGGGAGCCTCTGTACGACCTTCTTCCTGGACTTGAGTGTGGATACGCTGGCGACATTCCACTGGGAGGTAGAACGCTGCAGCTGCGGCAGAGGCAGCCACAGCAGCGGGCGACGATCCTGAAAAGTGGGTTGTGGGTACTCCGGTAGACGCCTGACCGAACGAAGACTGAGGCGAGGCTGGAGCAGTGCTGAGTTTGCTGGTGGTAGTTGACAACTCTCCTGGAGTTCCAAAGGACTGGGATGGTGGATGAAGTGACGACTTTTCATTCATGTCGTGAGATGGCTGTCCTGTTGCGACAACATTCCGTAGTGGGACAATAGGGCTGCTCGCAGACGCCGAAAGAGGGGAAAGTCCGCCAACCTTTTCGCTAGACTGATCTCTGAGTGACCCACTCTTCTCGTTCGAGCTAGGGCTATCCATCACAATTGCAGGAATCTGGAACTGAAAGTTGACGCGTGGAGATGTCGTTGGGGTGACCTGGATGACATCAAGACTAGAGGAGCTCGAGCCGGAATCCTGGCGAAGGTTTCTGTTCCAGAAGGTCGAAAGATGAAGGCCGACATTATGGGCTGTCTTGGATGCTGACTTGGCCGCCCTCCTGGTTCCCATGCGGACTCCACGAAGACCTTGACGATGATATGGAGTGGTGCGGGTTGAAGATGTAACAGGTGGAGGCAAAATTGTCACTATTATTAATGAAAGCAATGTTAAATGATAAATGTTAGCAATTCATGCCCTTGAACAGAGCTCATAATTGTAACTGACAATACGGAACGAGGCATGTACCTTGCTTCTGGAGATCATTTTTGGTGATCTGGTCCCACGAAGACGACAATGACGACGGAATCGAGCTTTTCCTCGAGGGTTCATCAGCATCAGGGAGATCCGAAGCCTCGCTCGCTGCAGTGGCACGGAGACCATCGGGTGCTTCAGTATCACTGGCATAGCCTTGACTCTGGTCAGATTCCGCACCAAGGCTTTGTGGGGAGACAATGGCAGCGGTGGGCATAGATCGGTCAACGACCTCCTCAACCACAACTTCCTCCACCTCGACTTCCTGCTTAGATCTTAGTGATGATGGTGGCGAATCCTTGGTGATAACCGGAATCTCCTGCTGAGCTTGAGGCTGACGAGTCCTGAACTTGTCAATAGGGCCACCATTCTGGTCATTGTCGTTCTCTTCCTCGTCGTCATCCCCTTCGTCCTCATCATCACTATCCTCATCCTCCTCGTCATCATCATCAGAGTCATCCTCCTCCGAATTGTCCAGAACGGCAGCCTCCTCAATCGTCGTTGTATTGATGGTCAAAGTGGGCAGCTCCACAACCGTCGTTTCCGTGCGCATGAGCCGAGTCAGGAGTGGGTTCAAAAGGGCGCTGAGTCCTGTTCCTGTTCGCTTTCTCATTCGAGGGCTGAGAGGGCTTGAGGGTGCCGAGGACTTTTCACGTCGTCCACGGGTCGCATCCAACTCATAATCATCGTGCTCCTTGCCTTCGTGATCATCATCCTCATAATCCTCATGGTCGTAGCCGCCATCGCTCCTATAGTCGTCGTCCTCCTCATCACCGTGGTCGTCACGTCCTCCTTTGCGATGACCATGCTCTGGAGTTGGAGCCTTGGATTGTGTGTTGATTGTAAGGCCATGTCCTTGACTTGCGTCATCAGTATGATCTTGCGGACCATCTTCGTCTCCAACAGTGCTAGGCTGTCCGCTGTTGTCGCCGTCAGCACTTCGCCCAGAGGAGGTCCTCCTTACTCTCGTCAACCGCCTTGACCTCCGTGCTTCCCGGCTCCGACCCTTCCACTTTTCATTCCACTCGGCGATGACCTCCTCGGCATACCCATCCCATCCTGGCGCAAGTGACTTTTCCAGGCTGGGGCGGCTCAGTCCATCCTTCCGACCGCCACTGTTCTCCTTGGCGACCGCAAACACCGCTGCCTCCTCCTCTGCTGCCATAGAAGCCGTGCGGAGTTGTATCAAATACTTGCGGTAGATCCTCAGCGCTGATTCCTGAACATCCTCAAGACCAATAGTGCGGAAACTCTGAACCAACAAAGCTCGACCCTCCGTGGCCATACTGTAGAGACTGGGAGCATAGGCGCTCTCGCCAGAACGACGAATCATGGGTGACGCTTGAAGTGGGCCAGTACCACCATATCTGGCCAGCGAGGGGCGTTGGTGAAGATCGGGCTCGGTGAAGGCAATCGAGAGCTGAGATTCCTGTCGCCGCAAACCAGGATGCTGCGGTCTATTGATGCCAGTCGCATGTTCGTCCTGGAGAACATCCTGGTCAGGCTGTGACACCGCAGATGGCACACCGCTTTCTTCCTGCTGTTGGTGATGGTGGCTGAGTTGAGGTGGTGTTTGAGGTGATTGAAAGTTCTGAGAAGTCACACCCCGGATGCCGTTTCCGAAGTAGTCTTCCGTGGCCGCAGGGCGAGTCCTAGAGTTCCTCGAGTTGGACCGGGCCATCGCATCCACCGATCCGCGACCACGCATTAGTAGGTTGTAGGCATTGGGTGCTGAGTATGAGCTGGTTAGAGGCCCGCCGACAAAGCCATTGCTGTTGTTGTTCTGAAGGTACCGTACACCCGACAGTGCGCTCCCACCAGGAACAGCTCCAGGAAGAGGTCTGTAATAGTCGAATGAGCCACGACGAGTGTCTTCCCGACTTTGGCTGGTAGGCATCAATCCGTTTTGTTGAGCCCTCATAGCAACAGCAGCCACTGCGGCATCCTGTTCAGAGATATGGGCCTCTTCCAGTGACGGTCTGTTTATCTCATTCGACGTTCGGCCAGCGCCAGCACCAGCCAATTGTCGATTGTATGCATCCCCGACCGCAACACCTTGGAAATAGCCCGAGTGAGGTGGAGGAGCTGGAGAAAAAGGGGCCGAAGAATCATGAATGCCATATCGACGACTCTCTGGCGGAAAAGAAAGATGGTCGTTCAAGGGTAGCTGAAGACTGGATCGACTTGCAGAGTCAATCTTAGATCCTTCAATGTCCTGTCCACTGCCGCCGATCCCGATACCCGTGCCTACTCCAAATCCTTGTGTCAAGAGTTCCGGATCTGGGGTGATTCTTCCTGACTCCATGGCTGCCAACAGGGTGATTCGCCTCTTGTCTCTAGCGATAGCCCGCTCTTCGAGTTGCTGTTCACGCTTTTGCCGCCGCTCGGAAACATCAAATGTCCTGCAAAGTCGTTCATGGGCCGTAACATCCTATGTTGTTGTTTTCATAAGGTGATCATTAGTTGCCGCTCAAATAGAAATGGAGTATTCATGCACATGCTTCCTCGAAAATAAACACGAACAAAATAATAAGCACGTACTGTCCAAAAATTAAGATACTCGACTGCGCGTTGACTCCGTAGGAACGCCTCAAAGTCGTCATAGCTCAGAGGGTATCGTGTCTTCTTATCGAGGACCTGAGGGAGTTCCGGGAGATAGAGGGCCTGTTCTGCCAGTTGTTGATCATATAGCTGTTGCTGTCTCTGTAATGCTGCCAGTTTCTCTGCTCGCCGCTTCTTCTGTCGCCGACGCTTCTTCTTGCTGGCCTTGGAGCTCTTCTTGCGAGAGTTATTCTTGACCTGACCGTTACTGCCGTCGTGGTTGTTGGGGTTATTGTTAGAGTCGTAGTTGGGGTCCATGGAGGGCAACATGTCACTAATTCGATTTGGGTTGTTCTGCAGGTAGAGGTTGTTGCTATTTTCGTATGATCCGGTACTGTTCTCTTGGCGAATGAGCGACAGTGACGGCCGCCATCCCGATCGACTCTTTCTTGGTTCCTGCGCTCGCTCCTCGTCGGACAAATCCTGCAAAACCTCCTTGCCTCCGCTCTCGCCTGGCCGAGAGGCTGAAGAGTCCTGGCTATCCCTAGTAGTTTGAGGACCACCACTGTCGCCATGCTGGTTGGATTCTTGGCTGGCACGTGAAGGACGACGATAATCATCCCCAAGACTCAATCGGCTAGTCGTTTCCCGCAGTCGACTGAGGATGCTTTTACTGTTGGACCGCTGCGGCGTCACGGGTCGGTGCAGGTATTGAGGTGTCCTCCTTTGGTTATCCGTATCGTTCTCGTTTTCAGAATCTTCTTCGTCACTCTCTGTCACTGCGTTGGGCGAGTCTATCCGCTGACGGACATGGTGGTTGCTGTCCCAAGAGTCCTGGTGTTCCTGATTAAGCGGGGATCCAGGCCGAGGGTGGGCATCATGCGAGTTGCGATGGAAATAGGACGAACGAGGTTGATAGTGGTCGTGGAGGTTGTTGTTGTTGTACAGCTGCGGTGATGGGGATCGGGCCGGCCGATGTCCAAGTGCAAAGGCAAGTCTTGACGGTCCAGGAGAGGCAGACCTGGGTGGGATCTGCGAGTAGTAAGATTCCTGTGGGTTTTGTGGATATTCATGTTCAACTGTAGTTGCTCCGGTGGTCTTATTGCTACCGAGATTGCTGGGGGTTGAAGGTGAGGGTGCAGAGATGGTGTGGTGTTGGAAGGGTACGGAGGGAGAGGATGGTCGTGGGCCAGGCGAGGATGGTCGGGAGTAGTAAGAGTCCGAGTAGGGTATAGAAGCAGAGGAAGGAGAGGCGAGGTGTGCTCCCAATTCAGCAAGTGAGCCTGTTGAGCTGAGATTATTAGTGTAGTAGGGGTGATATGCGATGGCGCTATGTTGGTTTCTGGTGTGAGGATGCCGAGAAGAGGATGATGATGATGAAGGTAATAGTGGTGGTGGTGGTGGGGGGGAGGTTGAGCGGGAGTAGGCGGAAGGGACAGCGGTGGCGACCTGGGAGGCGGAGGAGTGGGGCCTGGGCATTTGTGCTTCCTCTGCAGGGGTGAGGGCGATCCTGGGCATGCCCTGGAAAGCGACCCCGTCCATGGTGGGAGTGATTGTGAGGTGGATAAGAAAATCAATCGGCTGTCGCAATTGCTCTCAGTGTTTGGAAAGTGTTCGCTTGTCTTGTCGGAAGATATGTTAGCGAGTGTCCATGGTATTGTAAAGAGGGTGTGGCACCTGGCTCCTTTTGGCTGTTTTTAATTGTCGGTGGAGGTGGTGGTGGTTCCTGAAAGGGGTGGTGTGAACGGAAGAGAGAAACAAGGCGAATAAGAAGTGGACAAGAAGGGGAGAGGGCAGTCGGCGATAAAATATAGCGAACGATATACACACGCGTGGCACGGAGGAAAGGGACAAAAAGGAGGAGGAAGGAAGGGGCGAAAGAAGGATGAGTGAACAGGAAGAGAAAGAAAGAAAAGGCAGGTTGGCAGGTTAGAAGGAGAGGTCGAATCTCACTCGTGCACCATGAGTAAGGACAGGTCCTGGTGATGATCATACACACATACTTTTGCTGACCAATGGTGACCTTTGTTGCAGATTAACTTTTTTTTTTTTTTTTTTTTTTTTTTTTTTTTTTTTCGTCCTGTGGTGTTGGGTGCTGCAGCTGTGTGTGAGAGAATAAAGTAAGCAGTCAGGCTGAGAGGTGCAGGAGACAGGCAGTTGACAGAGACAAAGAAAAAAAGTAAGGATTCAAAGGGGGAGTGAAACGAGATGTGGTGCAGGAGGTTGTCTGACTGACTCAAAGGCGGATGGTCGGAAGTAGGAAGAAGGAGGAAGGAAGAAGGAAGAAGGAAGGAAGGGGTGAGCAAGTTAATGGGATGTGGAAGGGGAGGGATGTAGAGAGAAAGGAAGTATGAGGAAAGGGGGGTTGGTGTGTGGTGTGGATGAGAGGGCGGATGGAGAAGAAGAGAAGAAGGAGATGATGAAGGGAGGCAGAGGAAGGGAAAGGAAGGGAAGGGAAGGGAAGGGAAGGGTAGAGTGAAGAAGAAGGAAGAACAGAAGAGGAAATGGTTGAGAGCATTTTGTGGTCAAGAAGAGAGATTTGACCATGGTGGTGGTGTAACATGGTATGGTAGGGATAACAACAGCAACAATAACAACAACAACAACAACAGCAAGGAAAAAGAACAACGAAACAAATAAGCTCGCCCGACACTCATAGAGACAAGTGGCCAAGACAAGACCAAGCAAGGCAAGCAGAAACAAAGCAGGGGTTGTGAATGAATAATATGATGCGTGCATGCTCCATTTACCCCCCTTTCCCACCTTTCCCACCTTCCCCACCTTTCCCACACAAGCCAAGGCATCCAGCTTTTTTCTTTCTTTTTAATTTGATTAGATAGATGTCGATTGACCAACCATGGCTGCCTTCCCAGAATACCCCTACCTACTTTCCATGAAAAGGAGAGATATGAACCATCTTTCTCTTCTATGATTAGTGTTGTGGTTGAGAGCACTTTGTCTGTCTTTCATTTGTTGTTGTTGTTGTTTTTGGTTTTCATTTCATGTGTCAGTCTCACTATTGCCTTGGTACTATTCCCACTGTCCGTTGCTACTGTGCCCCTCCTCCTACTTTCGTGGCTAATGCATCACACCAACCTCCTTTCTGTCCAAACCCCATCGGTCGCGTGCCTGCAAACCTGTAAACAAAACACCGACTCACCCGTCTTTGAGCGCCAGCATCCGAGAACACTCACTCTCAAGCCACTCCCAAACCCGGACAAGACTCCAACCCCACCGCGACCGCCACTCGATCCTACTGTCCTTCCAAGCCCAAGTACTGGACACACTCCCAGATCGCCATTTGATCTGCAATCGACCGTCTCTTTGTTCTCTTGTCATCCTCCCCCTCGCCATCGTCATCGTCGTTGTTGTTTCCGCTGATGTCGGAGTTGGTGTTATCTTTGTAGACATCAATAGAAGGAGGAGGAGCGGGATGGCGACGGAGGTGGTCGGTGAACCAAGCTTGTTGGATTGTGCGATATAACCCCATCTGCGGTGGAAGAAATTCTTGAGGTGTATTGTTTCCTTGGACGGTTGGTTTGGAAGCACCTTCTCACGAGTGAGGTGAGTAAACAAGGAGAAGTTGAAAAAAAAAGAAGTGGAAGAGGAAGGAAGTAGGAAGATGAGCGTGAGTCTTTCTGTGAGCATATGTCTTCTACGAGAGTGAGTAGGGTGTAAGTATGTGATGAAGGTAAGAGGGACGTGAGGAAGCAAAGTGTGTCTGAAATGGTTGTGTCGAAAAAAAAAGACACGGAAATGAGTGAAGGTCAAATGCATCTTTGACCATTGACAGCTGATAACTTGAAGCAATCACCAGCAATCACCACATTACCAAATACCAAACCATTAGCCAGTTTCCCTCGTTCATAGTTACTTTTCTATACTGGAAGACATGTTCTCTAGCATTGGTTCCTCATGCCCTCATTGGCACTCGTCTACTCGTCTTTTTCTCCGTTTCTTCTCTCTCACTCTCTCTCTCTCTCTCTCTCTCTCTCTCTTCCTTGTTCTGACCTCGCTGCAGGCGGTGGTAGTAGTGGGGTGGGTTGGTCATGTTTGGAAGCGGGCGTTGGTTGGTGAAGAAGTTTTCTTCCATGACGACTCTAGCGTTGGATGTATGGGTGAGAGTGGCGGGTCGTGAGTCGCACGGAGGTCTAGGCGTGAGAGGGTAGGTTGTCTTGGATGTGTGCTAAAGGTATCAAACGCAGTCCAATCTAACGCGTTTTGTCAAACGCGTGTCTAAGAACATATGGCTGTAATTTCATTTTCCATCAATCGACTGCTGCTACATGCCTAGCCGTCAACCATATCACCACCCTCATCGTCGCCATCATCCCCATCATCTTCCTCATCGTCAATCGGCCCTTTCTCAAACACAACCTCGCTCGGCTGAACGTTAAATCCCATAACAACGACATCCTCCGGGTCCTCCGTGTCAAAATCTTCGTACTCGGTATCCTCTTGGTCCTCATCCATATCCTCGTTATCAGTCCCCTCCCTGTCCTGGCGAGCATCAAACGCCCACGAGCTGCCCTGACTATCTGGATCCGGTCTCTCCTGATCGGGCACCTCAATTCCAAACTCCCGCAACTCCTTCGTCACGACCTCGTGTTGTTTCCAGACAGAATGAAAAATGCCTTCGGCCTTGGTCAAATGAGGCCAATGCTTCTTGATCCAGTCCAATTCCTGGTTCCCGATATTTTGGTCAGTGTAGTGCATGTTCACAAACATCAGCTTCCGCAACATCCCCATGCCCGCCAGACCTAGGTAGAGTCGGAACTGTAGTCCTGCAGGGCCCCTAGGGTTAAAGCAGCTCACGTCTAGAATCTCCAGGTCGGCCAGTTTGCCCAATGTCCTGAATATTGTCTCGTGCTCGCGGATAAATTTCGTACCCCAAAGCTTAGACGTTCTGAAGTGGACTCGTAGGTGTTTCAATCGGAGTGCCACCCATGGTCTTCCAACTTCCACATCGCTCATCAAGATGTACGGAACCTTCAATGTCTCCAAGACGGGGCAGCTCTCCAGAACTTCCTGCACCATCCAGCTCTTGACCGAAAAACAGTCCGCCAAATCCAAAGATTGCAGGGTTCGAAAGTGCCGCTCCATCGCTCGAAATGTCCTAGAGAAAATGGCGGTTCCACAAAACGCCAGCAGCTCGAGTTGGCTCAGCGAATTGAGAATCCTGCTGAGATCGCAAGGGTAGGGGATCCCGCATCCGTCCATCTGTAGCTTGCGGAGGTTCGGGCACGCCGCTGGGATCCGGTCACAGAATTGTTGGATAGGGAAGAACATGTCGCGACAGACGGTCCACTTGAGATGTTGGAGGTGGGGGCACTGGCAGACCAAGTCGACCTGCAATTGGGTGCTGAGGTCCTTGGCATCCTTGATGGTGAGTTCCTGCAAGTGTGGAAATGATCCTGTTGTGTCGACGGGGATGTTGGTGAAGGATTCGTAGCGGGTCGAGGCGCACTTGACACGCCGCAGGACCTTCATCAAAGCCTCGACCTGCGCCTGATCCCCGTACTTGCCCTGACTCGACTCGTATCGGTTCAAACTCGGACATGCCTCGGACAATGCTTGGAGAAATTCTATCGAGGGAGAATTCTGACGATCGAAGCCAAGAAAGATGCGTTCGATCAAGGGGTTGTGGCGGATAAGGCTGGTGAGCTCGGTCCAGATAGTGTCCTGTTGCTTGGAAAATATGTCTCCATGGACGACCAGGGTCTTGAGGCGTGTGCACTGATCGAGAAAGGGAGCAAGTCCGACCGTGGTTTTGAGGGTGAGAGACCTTACCCAGAAGGCATTCTTGATGAGGGTGGAAAGAGGGGGAAAGTCCTTTGCGGTGGTCCAGTTTTCCTGGGCGGTGATGTTGGGGAATATGAGAGGGGTGAATGACTGGTTCCACTGGCGGCAGACCTTGAGGCAGATGACGATGTCCTGATGAGTCAGGTAGGGAGTAATGTGAAGGAGGATCTCTGGCAGCAGAAGCGGGTTGTCCATCTGTGGGAGTGGGAATGAATCTTTTCTTTTTTTTTTTCTTCTTCTTGTTGTTGTTTGAGTCGCAATGGGTGCTTTGTGTGGACGTAGGGGCGAACAAGGGAGGGTGAGGTGATGAGTGTGGATGTGGTTTGTGTGGGTTGGAAAGCGGCGAAGGGCAGGTTGGGAGGAAAGAAAAAGAAAGAAAGGGGAAGAAAGGGAGGATGAGAGAGTGACAAATACAAACGGAGTCTCTTTCAGTGTGCGCACTCACCCATTCCACGCTAACCCTGTTATTCTCCCCATTGTTTGTTCAGTGCAATTGTCCGAACTGAAGGGAGTGCGCTATTGTCTTTGTATCTGCTCCTTTTGTCTTTTTAGTCTTCTTAAGGGCGAATGAGAAGGGCGCCATGTTGTGGCTCATCTACTATGAACTGCCTTCTTGAAAGATGATACCCCATGCCGGTGCGGCATTAATTTGACTGTGCGCATGGTCAGATTGTGGCTTGTGCCCATTTTTTTTTTTCTTCTTTTGGTTAATCAATTAGCCATGAGAACCATGTGAAGCTCTGTCGACTGGACCTACACCTTCGCTCCCAACACCAAGGATGCATTTCTTACGAACAGGTGATCCACACATTCAGAACGTGTCTGTGGATAGAAGTACAGCTCTTTCGAGCAGTTCGATCCATCATCCATGGTATCTTTCATGACCACAATGCAAGGTGCACTCTAAATATTGGTGGCAACATGCATCATTTATCCACATTTGCATCTCCTCTTTCCTTACTTTCTGTCTCCGAAATTAGAGCCATAGTGGAGCGAGCGAATGCGCAGTGGAGCAATGCCACAACACTTCTCCCTCACATCCGTCCCCTTCACCACCTTGGACCAAGCGAAAAACGAGTGTATCCAACCCCTTTTGTGCTCTCATGACATCCATCATCCTCTTACCAACAAAGGCTCCCTCTCTTTTATTTTTCGCGCCAAGGGTTTTTTCACCCCTCTTTTCACCAACTCAATTCTCGGACCGTCATGAAAAAGGCATTCGCCACTGTAATTCATCAAAGACCAAACACGCTCATATCAAATCGTTCTATAAGAAAACACTGTATTTTTTTTTCTTTGTTGATCTGCACACACGCGTAGTGTCTCATTCTTCTTTCCCTATGTGTCATCCTCTCATGACGCGAAGTGAAAGAACCACGGTTCTACGAAATCAGTGGTATCATACACACATCGTCATGACAATCCACACACCTCAACCTGACCGCTTCTGTCATCATGTCTTATTTCCTCTGCCTTTTGTGAGTGATTCTTTGACAGATCCATAAAACGCGTTCATAACCCCCTCCCTCGGCTTGCCGCCTATTTTCAACACCTTTTTATCCACATATCACTTACAAAACATCGATCTCATCCCTTCTCATAAACATTCTCACATAGAAACACACTCGAGCACACCCTCACGCTTCAACAAACAGCACCAAGAACAACTTCAGAAACACATCCAAGTAAGAAAAACCAATGGCCACCAATAATAATAACCCCAGCAACAACAACAACAACAACAACAACACCACCACTACCGGCACCAACATCAACGACGACAACACTTCACACTACCAGTGCTTCGTCGAAATCCATCCACCCAGAACTCGAACCCCGCGCCACTTCCAAGTGCCTGCTACCATTCATCCTTTTCATGGCCTCATCGTCGAACTTGAACTCTTTCATCTGTGGTTAGACGATACTGAGAATCAACCCATGGATTTTTTCCGTGGACCTCGCACAGGTCATCGAGTCGACGTTTACTGGTAAGTCAAGTCTCTTGCGTTCATTCCCGTTTTACCTTTTTTTTCCTATTGAATAAGGAAAAGGTTGTTGGTGCACCGTTTCTTCGCCAATGATACCATGTTCTTATTTTTCTGGTTTTTTTTTGTATTGTATCATTCTTCAGGGATCCCCCACTAGGAGAATTCATCCGCTATCACCACAACCAAGTCCTCTACTTCGACTACAGCGTCATCACTCCCAAGAACGATGACACCCCCAACCCATACCTCGATCGCACTCAAGACTCATACAATAACCATTCCACCCCTCCCCCTCCACCCATTTGTGTTAACAGTGCTTCTTCACGCACCTCTTCCCCTGTCTCCCTTCATACCAGAAAGAACAATCCCACTTCGCCCAGTCTCCGACCCTCGAAACGCGCCACCGAACGCAACCGCCGCGACCCCTACAGCTATCTCTGGAAGTTAGTCGCCTATTCGGGTGGACTCAATGCGCACTTACAGAAACAAAGACAACAGCGACAGGAGAAGCTGAAGGAGCCGAAGGAGCAGCAGCAACAGGTGCCACTGGCAGTGTACATGCATGGCGATGAATCCTCACAACAACAACTTCAACATCAACAACAACAACAACAACAACAACAACAACAACAACAACATCAGTCTCAGTCCCAATCTCAATCTCCTCAGCAACAACAGCAGCCTTTGAACCGTGGTCCTGTTCTCGTCCACTCCTTCACGCACTACGGTCAGAGATCCATCTACCGCCGCCAGAACAACAACTACCACCAGAGTCGAAGATACAGCAACCATGTACTGACCAGCAACTACAGCCAGGGCTACAACAACCAACACAGTCAAAGTTACAACCATCCGGGCCAGGTTCAAAGTCATTCCCAGAGCCAAGGTTTCAACCAAGGCCAGTGCTACAACCAAACTCGGACCTCCCACACTCACAATCACAACCACAACCACAATCACGCCCACGATCACAACCAGCCTCAAAACTACACCAACTCCGCCCAATCCAACGACTACACTCAAACCTACAACGACCAAGCGCCGACCAACTACTTCAGCCTAGCAACAAAGTATGTCCAAACTCTCGACCAGTTACAGGGGTTCAATTACCGATCGTCGACTGGGGACCGGTTGGTTCAGGAGCATCTGGAAGAATGCAGATGGAGTGCAGCCAAGTTTGAGACTTATCTAAATAACTTGCACTCGAAGCTTGGTGGACAAAGTTCGACTGTGCCTCATCCTCCTCCTACTTCTACTACTACTATTGTTTCTCAGGGACGAGATAGTCCTGTGGCTGGCGATGATGGGCGTAGTCAGTGTCAGTGGCAGGGCAGACCGGAGACTGAGCAAGAGGAGATGGAAGAGAAACTGGGGACCGAGAAGAAGGAGAAGGAAAAAGGGAGGAAAATAGAGGCCGAACAGGAGGCAGAAATGGAAAAGGAAAAAGAAGAGGAGAAGGAGCAAGAGTAGCCTTGGTTCGGAGAGGACCTTAGGCGATTCTCAGGAGAAATTGGTCGAGTGCCGAGTCGAATAAAGAGAAAGAGAAGGAAGACAAAAGTTGAGGTGAAACAAGAGGCCTTTTCGGATGATGACCCGAGCTGCGTTTGCAGAGAAAGCCGCAGAAGACATCTGTTACAATTCGATCAAGCGAGGATGAAGCTAAAAAAAAACGGAGAACAGGGTCAAACGGTGTAAGAAAAATATGAACAACACCTCTTGTGGTCGCATACGCGAGAGTCCACCTGCCGCAAATGTTATTGAACCTGTATTCAAACGAACTCGAACTCGGCCTTCGGTTTCTTCTACGACTCGGGTACCTCCCGCACTAAGCGCTCTCAAGCAATATCGATGTAGATTTGCGTGCAGAAGGCTCGCTTTGCAGTTGATACAATGTATAGTAGGCGATTGCTATTTGCAGTTTAGCTGTTGTAATGTCGTTCACCAGTCGCCGACCTTTTCGACTTGACCTTTAAATGGATAGGGTGTGTATACATTAAAGCACAAGAGGGTCAAGGATGCTAAGCTTGAAAAGATGATTGACAAGACGATAGATTGTGAAGATAGAAGATAGAAGTGACCTTTTGTTGCTTTATGATACCAGTGGTCAACCATTGACGGTTTGATTCGGTAGTGCATTAGGATATCATTGTCCATGGAGACACTGAGTCACTTTTTCTTTATTGGAATGGTAGACGCCATGTATGTGAATGTGGTTAAAGGTGAAAATAAATGTTGCGAGGGGAATAAAGAAAAAAGAGGGTTGTGCTAACCGGCGCCTTCATTTGTTCTTTTTTTTGTTCTGTGCTCTCCAAGGCGGCCATATCCCTTGTGTCTTCTTTCAGAGCCCAGTTGATGGAAAGTGTAGCCTCGACTGATACTCTACCTCGACCATCACGCAATAAAATAGCTAGAGATAATGCTGAGAAGTACAATGGGTTCTACTTGTTCGATGCTCAGGGTATCGCATTCTATGTTCGTTGGCACTGCTGACATGTTGTTATTTTGTCCGTTGTAGGACTGATGTGACAGACATACACGACTGGCGGTGTCTCGGTCAGATAAAGTTGCAAGTAGGTGGAGTGAAAATACCATCATTGACAAAGCGCGAGAGAATATCAGCCAGGCTGTTTCTTGAGAGGGCGAAAATACAGAAAGAGAGGAGACCCGGCCTGGGGAGGAAGAACTCTGGATGGCTTCTAGTTCCTTTTTGTTGACGTCAGATCCCCACAAATCGTGCACGGTGCAGGTTTACCAGGCCTGACTAATCCAAGCCACTGCGTACAGAGAAGGAGGGGTTCAGACGAGAAAGACGCACCTATTGCCACATAAATAACGCTGCCCTCCCTCATGCTTTCTTTCTTCTTCTTTTCCTTTCCTTTGCACCCACTCTACTCCTCCCACTGCAAGGCACTCTCCTTCTCGACGACGACCAAGCAAGGCCAAGGACCACCATCGACAGCAAGCAAGGCCCACAAGGCAAAGCTCTACATCTTTCTTTCCTCTTCTTCCTTCTCATCCCTCTGCACTCAACTCACCATCACCACCACCCTCACTCGCTCATTCCCTCCCTCAGTTGATTTCTTCGTTCCACAACACAGTCACTTTCTTCGTTGCCACCAACATTTGCACCTCTTCGTGATTACATTCTTGCTCCCCTTCCTCACCTTCTCTTACATCTCTTTGTTGTTTTTGTGATTGCTGTGGAGCTAATGCAGTTTGTTTATTATTTTTATCTGCTTGGAATACGCGTCTCTCCTCCCACTCGTCAAATAGACAACCGATGCGCTAGCTGACAAGGGAATGCAAGACAGAGCTCTTTCAAATGAGAGCAGGAATCAAGACACAAACTTGAAGCAGCCGCAAAAAGGCAAGTATCCTCGACTGATCATCAACCTCTCGGGTTCACATGGAGCAGGAGGGTGTTCAGGACTTTGGGCCAAGAGGGAAGTGAAGTCGCAGCCTGGGGTTATTGCGTTCTTTTATGGCCCTGGGAAGGCTGGTCTGTTTTGAGAGCATCACAGCTGGGCCCAGGGGGACCGGCATAATTGAGTGTGGTAGCAACAGGTGTGTTTTTGGCAGGTAGTAGCGGTCACGTGACGGCGAGCGTGGCCATTTACTACTGAGATGGCGCAGCGTCAAACTGCTCTTGAGGTTCAATGTTCTGTACCTTCTCTTCTGTGTGTGGCCTTAGGGGTTGGTTTTGTTCAAAGTGTATGGTGCTGGTGCTTATAATCACAGGCTGTGTGGCAACTGGAGCAGGTGATGCAAGCATATGGCTCTGCAACCCTTGGGAAGGTAGGAGCGTAATGCGCTACTGGGCCTGGGGGGTGGAGACCGTGGGGTCATAGGTGTGTTTTAGCAGGGCGCTTTACTGCAGCCGGGTCTCCGTTTCTGCTGGGCACAGCATCAACTGTTCTTGGGATAGCAGTAGTCTATGGTTCTGGGCGCGACAATAATCTATTGTGGGTGCTTGCTTAGTCTTTATTAAAGACTAACCGTTTTTCGTTTTCTGTCTTCTATTAGCCTTAGGTCAACAACGCCATCGTAGAGATAGGAAGAATAATCATGACCTCTGCAAGCAAGGGAGATAGGAACTTGGCAACAGTACTGCTAGATCGATGCTGAGCAGGGGTTGATTGGAGAGATGAACAGGCAGGAAAAGTGGACAAGCGGGGACGACGGGTGTCCGATTCGTGAGAGGGCATGGTTTATAACAGCGGATGTGGGTTACTAACAAACTCTTTTTATGATGTATGTAGAGTTGCATGGACGTGTGTGTATGTGCGTGGTTGTCTTTGTTAAAAATGCAAATAAAACAAGTGTTTTCTGTTACAACCATTGTGGACGTTCTTGCTTGGCTCCCTGTGTCGATATCGTTGGTGTACCTTGGTACTCCTCTTCCCCCACTCAGCTCGTACAAGTTTGTATGCAGCAAGAGCAATGTTATATTCCAGCTAGTCTTGTAGGAAAAAAGACTGGACCAGGGGACAGAGACAGTGCTAGAGAGAACAACCTAGGGAAACGTGGTAGAGTGGGGCATCGCTTGTAGTCGAATAGATGGCCTGCGACGACGAAGGCTCACCACCTTATTATCACTCTATCAGCGACTAATGGTCCTACAAAGCGATACAACGATCATAATAAAAACCATCGCCGCCAAAGGTGGAGCAAGACATTGACCTCGTTATCCTTGTTCTCTATTACCACTCTATCTGCAACTTATCGTCCTACACAACCATCATCTATCTATAACTGATGGTCCTACACAACCATCATAATAAAAAAGGTGGAGCAGTATATATTGACCTCGTTATCCTTGTTCTCTTTTCCTTGCCCCTCTACAACGCTCCTTCCATTTCACAAAATAACACACACTCGACATATTCGCATACACTCACACGTCAACATGGAGAACATCTGCTCTGGATGTCTAGATACCATCACGGCCCAAGTGGGATCTGGTCGTCTGCTCCCTGTCTTGACCCACGACTCATATCCGGTAGAGGTTCTTCGCTGCCTCGAATGCCGCCAGCTTCACTTCATAAACTTCCCCGAACCTATCCCTATAGATGTTAGTGAGCGAAATCTGGAGGATGGCCGTCATGTCATTCCGAGGGTCACAACAAGCGAGGCGCGAAAGGAATACTGCCTTACCAACGAGAACCTGAGGCCCTTGTCGAGTACGGCCTCCCTGTTGCCTCAGATTTCGTTGACGCCAGATCGTCCGCAAGCTCGACTTTTCCTTGAGCAGACTATTTTGGAAGTGGCTCGCCATATTCATGGCGGTGATGTTGGATTGGAGGCGGCAAGGTCGGCGCATGGAGGAGGAGAAGAGAGACGTCCCCTCGTCGGTGATGCGAAAGACCGAAGAGATACACTGCGGACGTTATTCTTTGACCGGGGCGTGTTCGCTGGTTCGAACGTGAGGTTCGTGCGCGAATATGTTGTTGAGGGAAGAGGAGATCCAGAACAACTCCGGGACCTGTATGCGCAAGCCTAAACGAGATGCCTCCTTGGTTTCTCACGAGTCCCGTCCTCCAATTGTCTTCTCTTGTGGTTTTTGTCCTCTTTGTTCGCTGGTCTTCCTTCTATGGTGCTGGCTTTTCGCATCTTGTTTATTTTTCTTCTTACTTTTAGAAAGCCGCTTTTCGCATTTGTCTTTATCTTGTTCATTCTTTGTCTTCTTTGCGCCCGCTTCATTTTCACGTCCTTACACTCTTCTTCTTTTTCTGAATATAAGATGATGTGCAGCTTTACTCACTGACTATATTGGCATGGACGACGCGGGTCAAGTGCTCCTTTGATTGTCTGCCAAAGGGTTAATCCAAGTCCGAAAATGATGTTATGATCCATGCCTGTGCGCACTTTGAGTTTGATTTTTTTTAGGGTGACAGAGCCGCAGCGCGCAAAGGCACATAAACAGACAGACGGGCGCGAAATGTATGCATCCAGCCACACTCGAATCAATCAACCAATGTTTGGGATTTGTTTATTTTTGAAGATAATGAATGGTACCATGGCATGATTTCCAAGGAATAACGAAATGGGGGTTTGCACATGGAATGGGTGTTGCAAGTTGAAGGGTACCAATGTCGAGAAAGCATAGGGAAAACATGAAGCATCAACCTTGCGTCAGAGGTAGGTGACACCAATCCACTAAGGTTCTTGGGTTTGCATGATTTCTCTTTTGCTAACCCATGTCTGCCATTCGCTCTGATGTGGGCTGTGTTGTGAAGGAAATCATTGACTCGTTGGATAAATAAGAACAAGAACATAGCACACCAATGGCTTTTTTCTTTCTATGTTTCCAATCCATAGACAACGTAGAAGTGATCCTGTTAGTTCCTTAGGCGGCACTTTCGAGAGCTACAGCTTGCTATGGGAGTCGAGCGGTCGCTGGGTTTTCATTCGATAAACTGGCGGGTCGTACTCCTAACGTACAACTTTCTGTAAGAAACATTCTCAACACCATCGTGGATGAACCCTGCGCAGAGGCAGCACTAAACGCTCAAATGAACTACACCGAGACGAGCTCAACCAAAGTCACACCAAGGAAGGCTCAAAAGGCGAGGGATGATCCTAGACGCCTATGTGACCGAGACCTGGGAGGTGTTCAAATCAAGATGGGATGGCGGCTCGTTTGCTCTTTTCGAACTCTCGCCTTGTTTCGAGGCCATTCTTGCGAAGAAGTCATCAAGCACAGGAATACAGTGAGCGCACCACATACAGCGCCATCAATGCCAGGTGGTCGAACCATGCGCACCAGCCCAACAATTGGTAGCGGAGCATCATCAAGACTCACAAACTCATCATCGGGACTCAAACCAGCACTACATCCACTTTCTCAAAAAGCCAGGCGTCAGTTTTAGTGGGCAGGAATCCTAGAGGTACATGCTCTACATAGACAACAACCTGCGATACGGCAACTACAGACATGATTTTTCGCAGGCAGCAATGTGTACATGAGTGCAGGAGGCGCTCGGCAGTTTGGATTGGAGTTCAATTTTGAGATTGTCAAATATGAGGCTTGGGGACTGGGTGGACCTGAGGCTAGGACGCAACAGCGAAAGAAGGAATACTCACATGGCCTTCCAATTCTCCATACCTCTGTCCTATAGAGCATCTGTGGCAACACTCAAATGAAAGCTTCGCGAGCGTGGGTCCATTCCTGAAGGCATGCTTGACCTGTGGAAATGAGTGAGCGAGATATGGGAGGAAGAGACGCCAATGGAGGTCTGTAACAATCTGATTTGGAGTATGCCTGAACAAATGCAAGCTGTCATCAAGGCAAAAGGAGGCGTCACACGATTTTGATATGTAAATAAAAATCATGGCTATGAATGACATAACATTTATTTCAATTGCACCAGTAGATATAGCAATTACAGACAAGTTTATTGAGATCTCGAAAGCTCTGGATGTTAATGCCATTCTTGAGTTAAAAACTTAAAAGTCATAGGTCACAGCGGTTCAAAATATTCGTACAGTATTGTGGCTCATTGTAGAGTATATCAGTGCCATGGCTTTAGGGATTCGGGTATTGAGGCGACATCAGTTTAGAAAGCCCAAAATCAGCACAGTTGAGTTGATCTTGAGTGTTTCAGCCAAAGCCTGAGCTCCGTTGTGTCCGATCGAGTTGCAGTACAAGTCTAACGTGGTCAGAGTCGAGTTGCTCTTGAGTGCCTCAGCCAGTTCCTGAACTCCATTGTCTCCGATCGAGTTTTTGTTCAAGTTCAAAGTCGTCAGAGTTGAGTTTGTCTTGAGTGCATCAGCCAACGCTTGAGCTCCGTTATCTCCGATTGGGTTGAGGGTCAAGTTCAAAGTTGTCAGAGCCGAGTTGGCCTTGAGTGCCTCAGACATTGCCTGAACTCCGTTTTCTCTGATCGAGTTGAGGGTCAAGTCCAAATTGGTCAAAGTCGAGTTGTTCTTGAGTGCCTCAGCCAGTGCCTGAGCTCCGTTGTCCTCGACCGAGTTGGCGCCCAAGATCAAAATGGTCAGAGTCGAATTAGTTTTGAGTGCGCCAGCCAGCGCCTGAGTTCCGTTGGGTCCGATTGAGTTGAAGCTCAAGTCCAAAGTCGTCAGGGTCGAGTTGGTCTTGAGCGCCTCAGATAGCGCCTGAGTTCCGTTGGGTCCGATCGAGTTGCTGCTCAAGTTCAAAGTGGTCAGATTCGAGTTTGTCTTGAGTGTCTTAGCCAGCTCCTGAGCTCCATTTCCTCCAATCGAGCACCCGCTCAAGTTCACAGCGATCAGAGTGGAGTTGGTCTTGAGTGCCTCAACCAGCGCCAGAGATCCGTTTTCTCCGATCGTGTTGTCCTCCAAGTTCAAAGTCGTGAGAGTGGAGTTGATCTTGAGTGCTTCAGCCAGTGCCTGAGCTGCGTAGTCTCTGATCCAGTTGAGGCTCAAGTTCAAAGTGGTCAGACTCGAGTTGGCCTTGAGTGCCTCAGCCAGTGCCTGAACTCCGTTTAATCTGATCAAGGTGCAGCGCAATTTCAAAGTAGCCAGAGTTGAGTTGGTCTTGAGAGCCTCAACCAGCGCCTGAACTCCGTTTTCTCCGATCGAGTTGCCGCTCAAGTCCAATGTGGCCAGTCTCGAGTTGGTCAGGATGCTAGAAAGCATTTTGTCTTGTGCAGATATTGAGGATTGGTCTGCAGATTTAAAGCTCTGAACCTTCATGCTTTTAATAAGGTGCTTGTTTTCCTCGACACATTCCAGGCTGGGGCCACGTTCCGATACCACGACAGACTTGTAGAGTGGTGGTGTAAATGAGTGCCTCCAATCCTGACTCACTCGTGCACAGGACGTGAGGTCTTTGAGGCCAAGATTGTTGGCGATTATGGAGCGAATCTCGGGTATATCGAGGGGATGTGTCCGGAACATTGTTGTCAAAAAAATGAAGAGGGCGACGGGATTGACGGGGATGACGAGGATGACGAGGGTGATGAGGGCAGTGCGATAATGATAAGTGAAGGAACAAGAAGGGGAAGGGAGGAAGAGGAGCAAGAAGGGGAGCGAGAAGGGGAGCGAGAAGGGGAGCGAAAAGGCGAACAAGAAGGGGAGCAAGAAGGACAAGGAAGAAGGGAGAAAGCTAAGGAAAGATGCTGTTTTATTGTACAGGGAGTGAGGGATATTTAACAAGTGGAGGCGCAGAAAGGAGTGGCAAAATGGATTGGTCGACAATGGACACTATCCCTTTGTTTGTCAAGGATGTAATTTTTTTTCCTATTATTCACTTTAATGAGGTTTACATAAAAATGGGTTAGGACTCTGTCATCTAACGAAAACGACGCTGCATCCTTTTTTACGTAGTGTTGAGAGTTCTCACGGTTGTCTCATTACGTTCATTCGCCCGAAATTGACCTTTATTCTCTCTTTCTCTTGATTTAATTGACTTTTTTCATCTTACTCAACTTCGCCCAACCCATTCATGAACCCTAAACTCAAGTTCTTTCATTCCTTTGACGTTGCTGACGTTCAAGTTGCCGTCGCTTCTGCCACCCAGGAGACTCCTGAGGCTGTGGCTCAATCAAGGAAGGGCAAGACGGTAACGAGACTTGTCAAGTCCCTCTTTGTATAGGCAAGACTCGTCATTGCTTCCGCGACTTTCACAAGATGCCATAGCAATTGACGGTCGATCCAGTAATGAGCAGGCCCAAGCCGACTCACACACTTGATACCAATGGATCTGAAGAGCAAATGAAAACAAAAACAAAGGCCCCAAACCCAGTATTCGATTCCCGGAGCCCCACAAAAAATCCACTCCTTTTCTGATCGTTGACATATGGTGGTACATGGAGCAGTACGCCAAAAAAAAAAAAAAAAAAAAAAAAAGACAAACGAAGGGATAATTTTGTCATGGAAGCGAGTCATCATAGCATCCACTGCGCTCCACTAGCACTAATGCATACTTACGAACATGTTGAGGTTAACTAGCCTAAGTCTTGAACACTTTTCCACGCCGCTCTCAATCCGCATTCGTGGTAGTCGCTGTCCTCTTGCGGCGCCTCTTCGTTCCACTGGTGGTACTTCCGGAGGAGGTAGAAAAGGTGACGGCGGTGGCTGTGGTCGCGGCGTTGCTGGAGCTGGAGCTGGGTTCATCATCGCGTTTGAATTTCTTGGGAAAGGAACCATTACTGGCAAGTGGCTGCAGTTAATCTGGGTGTTCCTGGTTGAGAAGATAGCCTTGAATAACGTTCGCCATATTCTCGGTAGAGTTTTCCTCATTTTCATCACTTCCTCTTTAATAGTACCTTGGCCACTTGGAAGAAGATTGTATAGTCGTAGGACCCTCGTTTGGCAAGCTCAACAAAGTTCTTGGTAACGTCCTGCGTCAGATAGGCCCATACTAACGTTTTGGAAGAACAAGGAAAGAAGTGATGCGAGAGACAATTGAAAAGCAGAGAGCAAGAAAAATCATAACAATCTGGCCATTGTCAGTATTATGGTAGACAAGGGAGCAAGAAAATAAGTAGGGCCAATGCGTCGATCGTGTATACATGCATCACCTGCGGGAAAGTAAAGGACTCGTGGTTCGACTGTGCGCATGGTCAGATTATACTTTTTTTACATTTGGTTAACCCAATTAGCCATGAGAACCATGTAAAGAGCTGAGCCGACTGGACCTGCATCTTCAATCCTCAACACCAAGGATGCATTTCGTAGGAACAGGTGATCCTCACATCCAGAACGTGTCCGCGGATAGGCCCACAGCTCTTTCGAGCAGTTTGATCCAGCAAACAGGAGAACAGCAGAGCGAAGGGGCCGCCTTACTTATTTCTTTCACTGAATGTAAAGAGGGTGAGAGAGATGCGTCTCTTTGTATTGAGTTGTTCGTTCAGCATGGATTAACTCAGAAAGCACACTGTTAGAGAGCCGTCAATCACCAATGGTTGTCGCTTTTCTACTGCCTGATTGCCTGTCCAGATCACGGTGATATCAAATGAGGTGAATGTGACGAACATCATGTTTGCAAGCCACACTGACCCCGCCTGACAAAAAAAAACACCCTACAAAAACCCGCACGTTGTTTTTTCTCTCCTCCTTCCTCCTTTTGTCTTCATCCAACACACCAAACTGGGAATCCACCCCAGTCAAGACAACCACCACACACCATCTCCCTCCAGTGCCACACCATCTCCTTCCAGTATCACACCATCTCCCTCCAGTGTCAAACCATCTCCCTCCAGTTTCAAACCATCTCCCTCCAGTGTCACACCATCTCCCTCCAGTGCCGTGCGTCTCTTCACCCATCACCAACGACACGCGACACACAAACGACTCCACCCAACACAACACACACAATTACAAAAAAAAAAAAAAAAAAAAACAAGCGCGTAATCAACAAAATTCAAAACTACTTAAGAACACATAATGGCGACCATTCGGAGATCCCGCCGCCTCGAACAAAAAGCGACCGACGCACAGGAGGAAGCAGAATCCGCTACTGCCACTCAGATCGCTGCCGAGACCGCTGCTCCAGCACCCACTGCCAGGAAGACCACCTCTGGAAGGAAGAAGACAGCTGCCATTGGTCCTAAAGCAGAACCTGCGGACACTGTCATGGCTGGACCAGCAGCTCAGTCAAAGACCAAGAAACCGAAATCCGCCCGCAAGACAGCCACCACCACGGCAACAACAACAAGCGCACCCAAGAAGGTTCGAGCTACGACAAAGGCAACGACCAAGGCTATTGAAACAGCAGCAAAGGAGAAGGAGGCGAAATCGAAGGCCAAAGCTGTGAAGAAGGTCAAAGACGAGTCAACAACACCAAAGGAGGAGGCTAAACCGAGAGCCAAGCGCGCTAAGAATAGCAAAAACGACACATCATCGAGAGCAGAAGTAGGAGCAGAGGAAATGGAGCCCAAGGTCAAGACTAAGCGCGCAAGGGGGGTCATGAAGGAGGACGGCGACACGACGACGTCGACTGCATCTGCGGGACGGAAGAAGCGCAAAGCTGATCCGGAGGATGATGGTACTGATGGCAATAGCGAAGGATCAGGGACTGCTTCATTGACACAGGTTGGACCCATCACCAAGAAGCGTAAGACGATGAGGGGCAAGAAAACTGGAGCTGCTGGAGCTGTCGAACCTCCAAATGCCGTTGTCATCAACAGGTCGGACCCCTACTCGGTTCTCCCCACAGAGCTCTGGCAGGAAGTGATGTCGTACCTTTCCCTCTCCCAAATCACCAAGGCCTCATCTGTTTCCAAGAGCTGGTTGGAGGGAACACAGTCGTTGCAAGTCTGGCGCGATATCTGCACCAACGGTTCACTAGGCAACCCCAAGAAAAAGTATCCGACGCACATGAGCCTGGTCTGCTCACAGTCGTACTGGGTCTGCGAACGCTGTCTGATGATGAGCAACGGCAAGGGGTCCAACATCCCCCTGCCCGTCGAGATTGCTGAGCTGGCGAACGAGAAGCGAATGCTCTGTCGGAACTGTCGGTGTCGCTATTACAAGAAACATCCCGAGAAGATTGAGCTTCGCAAGAACGTGATGAACCACTATGGAGAGTATATCTCTGAGCGCGACGTCAGGATTACCAAGACTGACGCTTGTTCGATGTTCCACCTGACGACTGAGGATCTCTTGTCGCTGAGCTGTGTGACGAAGCGGAACCCACATTACAGGAATGCGCCCCCAATGAAGTTGTATCTGGAGCGGAAGGTGCAGAAGCTATCGCTGGAGGTTCATGGCGGTTGGATTGGGATTCAGGCTGTCAGTCGCGAGGTGGCCAAGGCTCGACGGGCGGATGCCAAGGAACGTGCCCAGGGGTTACAGACGCGTGTGGTTCAGAGTACGGGCAAGACGAAGACGGAGAAGAACAAGGACACGTCGTCGACCAAAGGCAAGGTGCCCATGACGCAAGCGGCTGCCCTGGCTACATATGACGACGACATCCAGAGGTGGGTCAAGATACTTCAGAAGCCTCAGCGAAAGGCACTGGTCGTCGAGGCGATTGCCGAGGCTGAGAGACGAATTGCGGCGGGCGAGCCTCCGCAGGTGATCGACTACAGGTCGGTGACGCCTGGCCACGAGTGGATCGATACACTCAGGTTTGCTCTCAACACGAATGCTTCGACGCGGGAGGAGATCAAGAAGATTGTCCAGTACTTTGAGGCTGGTGTCTATGACGCCCTCCAGCTTTCTTGTGCGTCGTCCACCGAGGCTGCTGCTGGAGCAGAGGTTGGGGCTATGCGATTAACAGAAGCGGGATCTTCTTCCTCGATGGCGGCGGTTCTCCCTCCCGTAATGGACACAACCGTCACTGTTGCCTAAAGTCAAGCAGCGAGAAACTGCTGGCCGGCGACTCTTTTCCTTTCTACCCTACCACAAATATCAACACTACCTTTACTCTTTCGCAACATATCAACACTTGCACAAATTCTCCCTCCCCTTCACACATACGACCGTACCGGATGCAGCGACAGAACCCTCACCCGAGATGGGGCTGTGGATTTGGTCCACCGCTTTTTTCTCTTTCCTTCAAAACAACAATATGGAAAAACAAAAAACAAAAAACCTCCATCCTTTAGCAACAGACGACGCATACTTCCCTTCTTCCCTCGTATTTTTTTCGTGCACAAGAATAAAAAAGGAAAACAACTCATCGGATGCGGATGTATCCGACGTGAGAAAAAAAACAACGGCTGCAAGACGTCCAAGACAAAGTGAGCTTAAGAGTCTGTTAGGGGACGCGATGTACGCGTTGATGTCTTTATTTGATATTATCGAGTAGAGGGTTTAAGGTAGGGATTATGGCTAAGATGGGAGAATTAAGGGTGCGACAATAGGTAGGAAGGCGGATAGAAAAAGAGGAGTGTAGACTGGGTTGATGGTCGTGTGAGTTGGGGGGGGGGGGGGGAGTATAAAGGAAAGTATGCCCGGCAGATAGAGGTTTCTTTTCCCCTCGAACCATCCGTTGTATGAATAGAGAGGGGATAGAGACTGATATGTGACAAGAAAGAAAACATTGAATGCAAACAAAGAAAAGAAAGTATGTATAGTCAAGTAGAATAGATGCAAACAAACCATAAAAAAAAGGTACAAGAAAACAACGAGTCTCAGAATTAAGCAAAATTGAAGGGAATGGACAGTGCGAAAAAAGAAATAAGGAAACGGGACGGGAAAAAAAAATGCATAAAAAGAAACAATTGTACAGGGAAAAGTAAACAGGGAAAAAAAAGGGAAGTGGTCATCTAGACATTGGGCATGGAGACACCGACGATCCAAGGGTGCTTGGCAACATCCTCAATGGTCGCACGCTGTTCGGGCTTCTTGGCAAGCATCCAGTTCAACAGATGCAGACACTCGCCAGAGGATTTCACACGGGGGGGAATGTAGGAACCAGAGATAGCCTGGACTGGGTCGTTGAAGGGGACCTCGCCGTAAAGGATGGTGTAGAGGAGGATGCCGAGCGACCAGATCTCGGCTGACTCGGCCCTGTACTTTTCTCCCTTCAGGATCTCAGGCGAGGCGTCTATGATGTGGTTTGGTTTGGGCGGGACGAAATTTTCGAGGGGGGCTTTTGTTAGTTTGTTGGACCATGGCACAATGGAGACGAATAGAAATTAAAGGTCATTGCGTTCCCTTTCTTTCCCTCCCACGAAATGGTCGTGCAAAGGGGTTGGGTTAGCAAGAACGAAAGAAAAAAAGAAGAGGGGAAGGAGGAAAGGGAACACAAGAAAAAAAAGTGTCAAAGAAACGACAATGCACACACCAAAGAGCAAACTTACAATTAATGGTACCATAGAAGCGATCGAACAGCTTGCCCTGAGGCTTGGGAATAATCACGGCCGATCCAAAGTCGATCAACTTAACCCGAAAGTCATTGTCGATAACAATGTTCTCGTCCTTGATGTCGCGGTGGCAAATGCCTCGGGAGTTGAGGTAGTGGACACACTCCACAATCTGCTTGAAGATCACACGAGCCTGGATCTCGGTGAACTTGGAATGGTGCTCGATACACTCAAAGAGATCACAGGACGTGCGGCGGACAAGGAGGGCAGACTTTGGTGGTTGGTGAGCCTCGTCATCAGACAGTTGGTTCAATGAAGAAGAAGAGGAGGATGTGGATGTGACCTGGAATGATCCTGAACTTGTCGTCGATGCAGATCCGGTGGCGGCAGCTGCAGCGGGATTCCTCTGGTTCAAGGTCGCCTGAGCCATCGCGCCGAGCATCGATCCTTGCATGTTGTTCAATAGGGGGTTACTGGCCGACCAGGGGGTACCGTGCAACTCCATGACGAGATAAAAGTACTTGTAATCCTGGTAGACGTTCATGAAACCAATAATGTTGGCATGGGCCACATTCCGGAGGACATAGATCTCCATGGGGATGACTCCCAGCTCGGGGTCCTTGGCCCAACCATGGACAGGCACCTTGTCACGGAAAATGAACTTGACCGCGACCTCCTTTTGGTCCGAGTTGCGGGTCGCCGAGACAACAAATCCGAATCCTCCAGAACCGAGCTCATCGCCAAGGGTATATGCAGACACAAACTCAGGTACCATTGAGTGGTGGGATAGATGATGTGCTGAAACGGTCATTTTGCTTGTATCTTCAGATCCGATCTGTTGTTGGGATTCGTGGATGACGGGTGTTGGGGGTGGGGTCATTGGGCCCTGGGTTGGGTCGAAGGTGACATCGGCAAGTGCGGTCATGCTGTGTTGTATGTAGCTATGTAGTTGTGTTGGTAGGGTAGGGGGTGTTTGAAGGTCGACTTGTTGGTATAATAGTAAGAGTACAATGGAAGGTTGACTAGGTAATGGGTAGAAGCGATTGGTCCGTGGGTTCGGGGGGAAAGGGTTGAAAGGTGTGTAGGTGGTGTAAGTTTTCTAGAGTAAGATTAGGATTAAGGATATTAGTTGTATGGTAAAAGGTAATTAACGATTAAGAAGATTAAGTGTAGAGAAGAATGAAGAACGAAAAGAAGAAGGATAGAAGAAGGAGGTATATGTAGGGAAAAAAGAAAGAGAGCGTGTCCGGTGTGGATGTGAAGGAGGAGAGAGAGAGAGGAGAGAGAGAAGGAGGCACCCCGATTTGTAGATGAAGGAAAGGAAAGGAAAGGAAAGGAAAGGAAAGAAAAGGAAGGAAGGGGAGGGAAGGGAAGGGAAGGGAAAGGAAGGGAAGGAGGGAATGGGTCTTGAAGAATAACGAATGGTAAAGAAGAAAGAGAAGGAAAGGGAGAAAAGAAGAAGGAAGAGGCGACCATGGCCCGTTATTTAATAACGAAAACCAAATTTGACACACCTATCGCCTATCAATGCGCAAACACACCACCCATTCACATCCGAGGACAAAAAGGAGAAAGGGGGCGTTGTTCCCAATAGTAGGTAGGCAAGACATGGTAATAATATACTGTGCAACCAACCCAATGCATGGACCCACAACAACCCGAAAGAGCCGAACAAGGCATTCGCGCCATAGAGCAGCATGAAAGAAAGAGAGAGGGACCAGCATAAGTCAATTGCCTTCAAGTACTTTCCAATTGTTACTCAATATTCTCCCTTCTCTCTCGCCCCTTCCTTTCCCCTCCTTCCACAGAACACCAAAAGGAACACCACAACATTCAACAGCAACAACCAAAGTTCAAAAGAAAGAGAAAGAGAATAAAGACTCCAAGGAAAAAGGGATTCGGGGGTCAGGATTGAAATGTTGCAGGGGAGGGATGGGGATGGGGATTTGAGAGAGAGAGGGGGGAAGAAAAAAGAAGGGGACGAGGAGTAAGGAGGAAGTACGAAGGAGGGAAGGGAAAAAAGAGGGATAGTAGAGAGTAGGGAGGGAAGGGGAGCGATAGGCATGGCCTCGCATGCTTTGTGTTCCATCATGATACATGCTTTATGCGTATTGGGCATGCTTTGAATGAATTTAGGTGGTTGACTGGTCTGACTGCTAGCAAGCAAAGCAAAAGTCGCATACGGTTTGCTTATCGCAGGCATGGTTCGATGTACCCAACAACACACAAAGCAAACAAACACAAACAACAGCCGAGAACGAAGAGATTCGACGCATTGAACTAGACAGGGAGAATTGCGCATGGGCGATGAAAGTTGGATTGGGGGAGTACAAAATAAGAGCAACAATGAGAGTGCGAGGGGAGAGGGAGAAGGGAAGGAAAGGGAAGGGCTGGATGGAAAAAAGACGAAAAAGGGGGATGGCGGGAAGGGCAACGACATGACGATGGACGCGCGACTTTGAATCGGGGAGGACAAGAAGGAGGGTGAGGTGTCAAGGGAAGGAAGCGAGGACAAGGACTGAGCATTGGCATGAGTGTAAGCAACCATTGTAGGACGAAAACGAGCCCAATAATACTCAATAAGAGATATATGCCGGTTGTCTGCATGCATTGAGGGTTGAATGCCTTTTTGCAATTGTCGCAACAACCACTCACCTTGTCTCTCTTCCATGCATTGTTGTTCGCCTTTACATCAACACAGACGCACATACGCACGCACCATTCCCTAGTCTCTCTCCTATGCCTCCCTAATTCCTCTCTCTTTCTCAATGCACACAAAAAAGTCCATTGGCTTGTAACCTGAACTCTCTTTTTTTTTTTTTGGACCCGCCAATGGTCCGATGGCACCGTGCCATATGCGTATACAATTTGAAAGCAAGAAAAAAGGAGGTGTGGGGAGTGAGGATGTAGAGAGCGAAAACTATCCCAACGTTTCCTTTCAACTGAATGTCGCACAAGTATGTTCTCAATCATTATCTGATGCACCACCACTGGATGAAGCGAAAGAAGCCAGCTCGACAAAATGTGTGGTATGAGAGAGGGGTTGGAGTAGGAAGTAAAGAAAAGAAAAATGAAGCCAGGGACACCATACGAGTGCGGAAGCGGGATCTGCCCGTCCCTTTCTTTTTCCTTCCTGGAGCTTTCCCCCTTACTTCATCCATGTGTGTCCCCTTCCGAGACTTTTCACCCATAGCATTTTGCATGTTGCATGTTGCATTTACCTTAGGGCAAGGAGAGTGAGATCGTTTCGGAGGATTAGAGCGGATGTTGGGATGAAATAAAGTAACAAAGACAAACGCGGTCTTGAGGAGGAAGGTCGAGTGAATAGGAGGATGTAGGAGAGAAGGAGGGCAGGACGAGGCTCGAGGTAGGTGGGTGATGCTACTGTGTGTAGAAAAAAGGGAGCGTGGGAAGGGGAGGGGAGGAAATGGCCCACGAAAGTGAAGGGAGGCGGTGAAGAAAGAATATGATGATTAATATGATACACGAATGAATGAGAGTAAGGAAGAGAGAGGAAAGAGAGAGTTAGCAACAAAGGACGCGTTGAAAAAAGGACAGGGAGTCGGGAGAGGAAGACTAAACATGTATAAATATAAAGAGGGCATATGTATCTGAAAAAGCATAATTGAGAGCAGAGCACGACTGTACCTTTGGACGAAGGGAGAAAGGGAGAGAAGTATAGAGAGCCAACGGCAAGAGAAGGAAAGTGGTGGCGCTTTTTTTTTGCACAATTTTGCTCAGATCCCAAACGTGAACGAATAGGGAGTTAAGGGGGAGGGGGAATATAATATGAGGAAGAGACTCGAAACAGAGGGTAGCAACCGAACGGGAGATGTGTGCAAAGAAGATGAAGGGATTGAAATAAAAGGAGGCGAGGTTTTGGATGGGAAAGAAGAGAGACGGTAAAGGGGCGGTGAAAGAGAAAGGATTGGAAGGAACCGATTGGATAGGAAGAAGGTGTAGCTGTGGGTGTGAGGAAGCGAAGAAGAAAATGACTGTGGGTCTATGCTCGGTGAGACAAGAGTAACACGAAGAGAAGGATAAGAGAGAGGAATAGAAGAAACCACAGGGACAAAGGAGGAACAATGCGGTGCGAGGTATGTGCCGAGTAAACAATTATGCAGGGAAAGAGGGACAGACGGATATGGGATGGGATTGGATGGGATGGGGTGGGACAATGGTGGTGGTGGTACTAGTGGTGGGTTTGGTGGTGTGAGAGCGTGAATACAAAAAGGGTATGGGAGGGTGAGTGTGGTTTGGTGCAGGCGGGATGAGTGGGATGTGCTGAAGGTGAATTTGCAGGAATGAGGGAGGAGGGTCAATATGTGGAAGAGCCAAGAATGGGCAGTGTCAAGTGGGACAAGGTATCGTTCGGTGGGTAGAAGAAGAAAGAGGGGATCCAGGTTGGGAACCAGCAACTGAGAAGAGGATATCAATGGTTTCAATGAAAGGATGAGAAAGCTAATGGAGGAGAAGGAGACCCGGTTGATGTTACGGAAGCGTACAAGGCGTGAGAGAGGAAAGAGAGAACTGGAGACGAATAGTAAATAGGCGGGAGTAGAAAAGGACGTCAAGAAAGAGGGTCCTTTTATACTTTGGTGGCACTCTTTCTACCCTTCTCTTTCTCTCTCTCTCTGTCTCTCTCCTCTCTGTCTCTCTCTCACACACACACACCTCGCTCATTGCGACATGATCACAGAACGGTCAGAGGCAGGACAATAAGCTCGCGAAAAGGGACCAGCATGAATAGCAGCACCTTCTACGCTCTCATTCTTCCGTCTCAAACTCCCATTGTTGACGGCAATGCTGTTCTTTTGTGTCCCTCCTCTCCCTCGCATCATTATTTATTTACTTTTCTGTGTGTGCATGTCGTACAACCATGCATAATTGCATGAACAACAAAAAAAGGTACCAGCAAAAAAAATGCTCTTGGTTCACTGTCCACATCCACTCTTCGTTCTTCGCCCCTTTTGCTCTCAAGTCACGCAAGAAAATGGAAGAAGTGGCAAAATGGCCACCAATACCGAAGCACGAAGGTAATGTAAGGTGGAACAAACCACCGTCATTTTCTTCTTTCATCCTTTCCTCTAGTCCCAGCCAGCAAGATAAGCGCCGAGAACAAACAAAAGAAGGAACTAAGGGATCCCCATCGTAACCCAAGAATAGCATTTCGTTGCATATTTGCTCTCATGTAACTGCATCAGGATTTTTTCTTCTTTGCGTCGACTCCATCCTTCCCCCTTTTTTCAATTCTGAAGTATTTTTTGCCAGACACAAATGGACGGCGAGACGATCATCCACCTTTACACACTTTTGACTCCTCGGTCCTTTGCCAACGTTACTCCTTCCTTCCTTGACTCGTTTACTCTCAATATTCATGTTTGGGAGGGGAGGAAAAGAAAACATAGCGAGAAAACTGATCGTAGAGTAGATACGCGAACACGTCTGGGAAACACGAAACGCCTTGAATTTTATTCAGGTTGGAACAGTGTCTACTATCCGATATCCAAAGATACTTGAGGTGTGAGAAGAAACAGAAAGTTAGGGATATGGAAGAAGGGATGGAAGTAGGGAGAGGGACAAAAATAAAGGGAGAGAGCACGGCAGGAATAACAGACGACCCTGCGTTAGATGTATTTACTCAAATTTGTTTCAACTCTTCATTGTGGGGTTGCGTTTCGAGTTGCAAAAAATAGGTTCAGAGAGCAAGAGGTACATGGAAACGTAGACTTGGTCCGAGTGTCCTTCGGTGTGTTCCTCTGGTCGCTGTTTATGCTTCCCTCTGATCGTGCAGGAAGATATGGCAAGAAACAAAAGGAGCACGCATAGTGCTTTTCTGTCCATTTTTATTCAATATGCAATCCTCGCAAGCAATGAGCATCGTTGTGTTACTTTCCTTCTATTCTCAGTCTTTTTGCATGGTCG